ATGGCTCCCACTGTGCCCCTCCACCTCTGCTGGGGTGCTGGTCCCTTTGCCAAGCCTCCATTGGAACAGAGGGGATAAGAGGGCCTTTGCCATCTTTGGACCTGACATGTAGTAGGCACTGAGGAAGTGCTTCTTGAGTGAGTGAAAGAGGGCAAGCTACCCCAAAATCTCCAGGGACTCCCCCTTACCCATTGAATACAGCCCAGGCCCCTCCCCCATATTTCAGGCCCTCCGCCCGATGGACCAGGCTCATTCTTCTTAACCCCTCAAAGCCTCAATGTCCTCATCTGTAAAACAGTGATAAAGAAATGACAAATATTGGGTTGGCTTTAGGATGAACTTACCTGGTTCGATCACCTCACTTTTGTGCCTAGGGGTTGTGCAACCTTCACCGAGGCATAGAACCTCCCCGCTCCGCTTTCTTGACTATAACATGGGAATAATGAGCGGCTCTCAAGGTTACAGGGAGGCCCACCTGAGACAATGCATGCATGCTGCATGCATTAGCGGCACAGCAGCTGGCACAGAGAAAGCATTCATTACATTGTAGCACTGGCTTACTCCCCTCCACCCACTTCCTGCTGTTCCTAATTCACGGGCATCCTTCCAAGGTTGCTTTATGAATATGCAAATAAATGCAACAGGTGTCCTTATTTTCTCTATTTTTACACCAAAGTTTACATGCCCCACGCTAGGAGTCAGCCCACTTTTTCCCGTAAAAGGCCAGAGAGTAAGTATGTCAGGCTTTGGACGCCATATGGCCTGTGCGCCTCTCAGCCCTGCCTTTGGAGGGGAAAAGCAGTCTTAGACAATGAGCGTGGCTGTGTTCCAGTCCGCTTTATTTATGGAAACTTAAATTTGATTTTTATATTGCTTTCTCATGTCATGAAATATTATTCTCCTTTTGATTTTTTCAACCATTTAAAAATGTAAAAAACGATTGTTATTTCACAGTCTGTACGAAAACAGTCAGTGGGCCAGATTTGGGCTGTTTTTTCACTTTTCAGTATATCTTGGAGAACTTTCTTTATGGATGTAAAGGAGCGGCTTCTTTCTGTTTCAAGGGCGTATGACTCCATCCTGTGGATGTATCCGAGTTTGTTTGACCAATCCTCTACTGAAAGGCACTTAAGTTGTTTCTATTCTTTACAAAATATTTTGCTATTACAAAATAGTGCTGTCGTGAATAATCTTGTTCATCCATCATTTTTGACTTTTACATGTGTATTAGGTCCCATTCCCCTAGTGGTGCAGCTGGGAAATGGATTGGGGTGACCTATTGAGGGGAGAGCTAAGGGAGGGAAAGAAGCAGAATGAGAAGGTGGTAAGGGCAAAGCAAGAATTGGTCCTGAGGAAACCAAGCACAGGCCTGATTGAGGGTGGAGCTTGCAGAGCCCGAGCTACCTTGAGGCCAGGGGGGTGGGGCTTTTGAACTTCTGGTTCAAGCAGTCATTGGCTTAGTGGTCAAGGGAGTGGGAGGAGCCTGTCAAGTGGCTGCCATCAGCCAAGAGCAGAACTCCGAAGAAGCCAGGGGAGGGCGCACCAGCTGCAAAGGGGACCTGAACTGGGAGGTAGCAGCACCCACCACCTCAGATTTATCTGCAGCACAGTCTTGGAGGTGGAATTGGAGGGGCAGCATACATGCACTGCGGTGTAGACAGACAGTGCCAAATTGCTGTCCATTAGGCCTGTATCAATTTACATTCCTGCTGGCAACATCTGAGAGTGCCTGTTTGGGCACAATCTCATCAAATTAGTCAATTATTAATCTTTTGGATTTTTGTTAAGCTGATTGATGACACAGTGCTACCTCAGACGCAGTTTTCATTGGCACATCTCTTAGAATGGGAACGACTGAGAATATCTTCATGGGTTTCAGAAAAATTTACATATTTTTTGTGAGCTGTTTATATTCCTTTCCTGATTTTTCCTTCAGGACTGTTGTCTGTCATTTTTCTTTCTAGAGCTCTTTACATGTTATAGAAATTAGTCTTTTGTCTCTGACATGAGTTGCACATACTTTTCTCACTTTGTCATTTGTCTGTTTAACTTTGTTTAAGGTGGTTTTGGCCAAGCAGAGGTTTTCAATCATAGGGTTGTGCAGACAAATAAATGGTAGAATATGTAAAACACGGGGTGCGAGGCGCACTACCTGGTAGGCACTGAGTCGAGGTGGTCTCCCTTCCTCCCCTCTCCTCGGTGCTTTAACTCACTGTGCTCATTATTCTTCTTTAAGTATGGTTCTGGCTTCCCATTTTCTTACATTACTTCTCTTATGTGGAATGTCTTCCTTTCCGTTTTTGACTGTAAAAGCCCTACCCTTTCTCAAATGGGTAGAAAGTCGAATGTCAGAGTCTCTCTTTCACCTGCACTCCTGTGCCTCTGTCCACCATCACAGCCCACCTTGGGTCCTCGCTGTTTATTCCCACATATTTGCCATGGGTTTCCCGAGCTTCTGTTTTCTTAGCTATTAACTGGAGTTGCCGGAGGAAATAGAGATTTATTTTTATTACGCAATGATGGACGTTTACTGTAAAAAAATGTACTGAAAAAATTCCACAAATATAGAAACATAGAAAGTTCAAAACAGCAGTTACACATACATGGGCGCTCTCATTCCCCCGGGGCAGCTGCTGCGGGCAGGTCCTTCCGGGCCTTTTCTATGACTGTATAAGTATTTATAGGGGGAGAGAGAGAGTTTTTCTTAGAACAGAAAATTGGAAGCATGCCATCCATTTTATCCTGCAACTTGCTTTTTTTCATTCCATAAATCATTGTGAGTAAGAGGATGCATTTGAGGCACCTGGCTCAGTGTCCGTTAATGGGAGCCGTCACTGTTCTGCCACCTTGTAGAGTATTTTTAAATGTCCTTTTGGCAGCAGAATACCCATCAAACAAAACAGTATCTGGAAGCCCATTTATAAATGAGATAGGGTGGAGCTGCCAGGCAAGGGTGAAGGTGGGTGGGGAGGTGGGCACAGAACCCATTTGTTTTCCCATCACTGTTCGAAAACCTGAGAGTGTTGGGCAGGGTGTAGGCACATCACACTCAACTGAGTGGCATCATTACGGGGCTGTACTGTCCAAGCAAGCTGGTGGCTCCCCTGGTGGTCTTCAGCTGGCCCTTAAGGGGTGTGAACTCAGGAATCTTGGAGACATTCACACCCAGTTCCAGGGCGAGAAACAAGTGACAGCAACAATAACAAACAACAATGACAATAGACCACCAAAAAAGAAACTTTCGGGTTTCCATCTTGACCTAATTGGAGAACGCAGTGCCGAGTGGTCTGGGCAGAATACGAGTGACTCCCTTCACCTCTCTGGGGGCCGACAGTAAGCTGAGCCATGGCACCAGGCTGGTGCTGCCAGGAGGAGACCCTCACGGACCCACCAGCTCGCCCACCTCTCTTACGAGCTTTTTCTGGGAAGCGGTGAAAAGGACTGTGTTTTCTGCTGCAGCTGGTTTTCTGCTGCAGCTGGTTTTCTGCTGCAGCTGATTGTGCTGGGAATGAGGAGCAGGTGTCTGAGGTCTGGGCTCCCAGGGCTCCCAGGGCTCCCAGGGCTCCCAGGGCTCCCTGGGCGGCTAACAGGACCTCCCTCCCACTCCAGCCCCTGAACTCGGGAAGCAGGGTGAGGCACGGCTGAGTCCGACCGGACTGAGGGTTCTCTGTGGGTGGCACTGGGAGGAGGAGCAGCGTTGAAGCTCACAGGAGCCGAGCCCTAGGCCACCAGCGCTGGGGAGAGCTGCAGGGTGCTGGGTTCTGACACCTCTCCCGGTTTGGGTTCTTCTGGGGGAGAAGAAGAGGGAGCCTGTTTGTGGCCTGGGCATCCAAGGCCAATAGAACTGAAGTAGGGGCGGTGGAAGGAGGGGCATCCCAGGACCTTATCCCACTTGAGTGAGGAATCCAGTGGGGAGGCCAGCGGTGGGACCTACGAGGGGAGGGAGAACCGCCCAAGCCTGAGTAGATGCTTCTAGGTCAAGTTTATTGGGCACATTTAAACTTTTTGATGCCATTCTTTTTGGACAGCAATATACCACTGGGTACCTAGAGCTATAAATGTTTGTAACCTTTGATATGGTCATTCTAGGCCAGAGAATTAATCCTAAAATAATAATCTTTTCAAAATGTTTATCATTAGAATTTTTCAAAGATACAGAGTAAAATAGAACAGTTTAATGACTCTCTCTATACTAAAGGAATATTTTAACAGAAGGAAAAAAAGCCACACGAGTGAAAATATTTACAGTTAAAAATAACTATAATGAGAATGTCTAAATAAATTGTGATTCATCTTCAAATAGACTATTATGTAGCAATTAAGATGATAAATATGAAAATTTTGGAATTGTATAAAGTCCAATGAAGAATAAGAATTTGAACTGTGATGACAATAGTTTAAGAACGTAACTTGAGCAAAGGTTGAAAGGAAATATGCAAATTATTTGTTCTGTTGGGGCAGGGGATGATGAGTTCATTTTTTTCTCCTTGAATATTATTTTTATATTTTCACAATAAATTAAATGAAAGGGATGGTCTAGGCTCTGCCCCAAGCCAGTCTATGGCTGTCTGTGTCAGGCACCTGCCCCAGGTAATGTGTGGGAATAGTCGCATTAAGAAGTGGCAGAGGGTAGGCACAGGACTTGGTTTGGGGGCAGGGGCTGTTCCATAAGAGTCTCACAGACTCAGAATGTTAGAGCTACATGGGACCATCTAACACCTTCATTTTGTTGTCAAGGGTCCTGAGGCCCAGAGAGGCAAAGCGACTTGCCCAGAACACCCAGCCAAAGCCTGGCTGTGCCACGGAGCTAACACTGCCATGGGGCCAGCTCTTAGCTCAGTCCCCTGCTTCAGGGCACCTTTGTTTCCTTGGAATTGGCAAGAAAGCAGCCGAACAGAGAGCATGCTCCTGGTGCAGACGGGGGTGGGATCCTGAGCAGGGACGGCACAGGGACACGGCTCCTCGATGCGTAAACCCTGGTGCCATGGTTGTCTCCACAGGAGCCTGAGTGAGCGCAGCCAGACCCAGCCCCCCCAGCAGCGTGTGGGGCTGTCCCGGACCGTCCGACTTTACCCGGCCACCCCAGCCAATGGCCAGTTGACTTCCAATGCCCTGCCTGTGGGGCCAGGCCTTGAGCAGAGGGACGGCGCCCAGCAGGCAGTGTACCTGGACCGCCCGTCATCCCCCTGGGGTAAGGATGCCCTGTCTCCGGGACCTGGAAGAGCAGGGCATCGAAACCTCTGATTCTCTTCTCCCTGCCTTGCTTCTCTCCTCCACGCTCCCTGAAGGGCTGAGTTGCCACCTGTCCCTCATCATCTCAGCCAATCAACAAACAATCATCTATCTGGTGCTTGCTTTGTGGCAGGCTCCAGGGGTTCAAAACCAGCTGGTCGGAACTTCGGCCCTTTGAGACTCTTAGACTTTGCTCCATTTCTGCCCCATGGCCACCCAACCTGCTTCCTTCATGTTCAGCTATAAATCTCAGCCCCTGGCCCCAGTCCTTCCAACTCACCCTTCCTGAAAACCCCAACCTCCCTGGACCAAACCGACCGGTTGCATTCTTAGCACCTATGGCTGGGCCTCAGCTTCCCAGAGGAGAGAACTGGCACCCTGTGCATTCATGCCTCCACACACGCTTGGTTGTCCGTCTGCAACCCTCCTCCGTGTGCCTGGACACACTCTCTCCTTCTTCAGAGCAGCTACTCCAGTGGCTCCCACTTTCCCACGTCCCATCGGCACGCAGAGAGCCCGCAGGGAGCCCCTCCCGTCCCGCCCATCTGCACCACCACGATGCAGACTGACGCCTCACCTCAGCCTGTGCCCGAGCCCATTTCCTTTCTCTTTCTTTTTCCATTTAAAAAATTGGGGTAAAGCCCTGACTGGTGTGGCTCAGTTGGTCGGGCATCATCCTGCAAAGTGAAAAGTCACCAGTTTGCAGGTTTGGTCCCCATTTGGGGTGCATACAAGAGGCAGCTGATCGATGTTTCTCTTTCACATCAATGTTTCTCTCTTTCTCCCTCCCTTTCCCTCTCTAAAAATAAATAAAGTCTTCTTAAAAATTGAGGTAAAATTCACATAATATAACATTACATTTTACAGTGCACATAGCAATGGTTTTCAGTATATTCATAATTTGACACAACTGCCACACTTATCTAATTCCAGTACATGGTCATTACTCAAAACAAACAAGCACACAAATCTCATAGCCATTAAGGGGGCGCTCCCTCCCCTGGCCCCCACCTCCCCAGCCCCGGGCCCCACTGGTCTGCTTTCTGTCTCTACAGATTTGCACACCCTGGACATTTTGTATAAATGGGACCATGCGACACATGGCCCCTTACGTCTGGCTCCTGCCGCTGGCACAGTGTTTTCAAGGTTAATCTGTGTGGTAGCCTGTGTCAGTACTTCACTCCTTTTCATAGTCAATGACCTCCTCTTGTCGTCCTGAAAAGGCCGCATCCCTCTTCTTGTCTGAGGCACACACACCTCCTTTCTTGATTCCTGTGGAAAGCTAGACTACCCAACCTGTCCTTGCCTCGTCCCCTCTGTCCTCCCCCCTCAACCAGTCCCTCTCTCAGCCCTTTCCTGGCAGCATGTACCACTCCTTATAGCTCTCTCCGTCACACACACAGTCACTTCTCCATCTTTCTCCAGCTTCCTCTCTCTCCCCTGCCATACTGGTGAGGTTTCTTGAATGGGTGGTCCGCATAGGCTTTTCACACTGCCCCCTTCAACCCCTCTGCCCCCAGCGTCCCTCCCTGAGCTCCCCACACCACAGGAGCACCCCTGCTTTGAATTTCCAGTGCCACCACATTTAAGTGAAGAGACCTCAGCTCACGCTGCTGTAGTGACTTCCCCACCGGTCGTCCTCCCTCCCCTCCACCTGCACACCCAGTGGGGAGGGCATTCGGCCCCCCCACCCTCTGTTTCCTCTTCGGTCTGTTACTGGAACTTTTCAGTGACTCCCCACTACCAACCAAATAAGGTACCAATCCTTGTTCTGGAAAGCAGCCACCCAACCTGTCTGTAATCGTTCTTTCAGGCTTTGTCTCCCCGCTAGAAAACTCTCCACTCCGGCAGGTCTGAGCTGCATTCTGTTCTCTGCCCTTCCGTTCAAAGCCCAGCTGCAGCACTCACAACCTGCCTTCTCTGAGCCCATTTCCTTGCCTGTACAGTGGAACTATTAGATTGGATATAGGAATGTTGCCAATATCCAACCATTCTAACATTCAAACGTGGCAACTTCTAATGGTTCAACCTAAACTGCTACTCAAGAGGGTGCAGGGTTAATGAGCCTAAAGCATGAGCTTGGCTGGCTGCACACTCATGTCCCTCAGCAAATGCTGCTCTGTGAGCATCTTGAAGGTGTTACTCTGCCCGAACTGTGGGACTTTGTATCCGGTGGGTGCTTAGCAAATGCCCTTGGGATGGATTCATCCCTGGTCCCATGGGCCTTTCTAACCGGGCCCTGGAGGTCACACCCGTGCCTCTCAGCCCTGCCCCCTGGACCCAAGCCCTCTCTCTGCAGGGCTGAACCTCACGGAGAAAATCAAGAAGATCAAGATCGTCTTCACTCCTACCATCTGCAAGCAGACGTGTGCCTACGGGCACTGTGCCAACAGCTGTGAGCGTGGCGACACCACCACCTTGTACAGCCAGGGCGGTCACGGGCATGACCCCAAGTCTGGCTTCCGCATCTGTGAGTCCCTTCGGCCCTCAGACGACGGTTCCCGGCTGGCTCTGTCTCCCAGGCTATTGTGGGGTGGAGGAAAGGCCTGAAAGGTCTTTTCTAAAAGGCGAGGGCTAGTTGTCATCTACGCTTCCTCACGCCCGGGCCTCCTGGAAAGTCCCTGCACTGCAGGCGACGCTGGGCCCCCCGGGCCGTGCAGATTTGGAGTCCTGCCCCCCTCCTTCTCTGTGGTCACTCACTGGCACCATGGTGGGTGCCGCTAAGTTCTTCCACGGCCAGTCACCTGAGGTCAATGTTGTAGATTTCTGCCAGATCCCCTGCCTGAACGGAGGCCGCTGCATCGGCAGGGATGAGTGCTGGTGCCCCACCAACTCCACCGGGAAGTTCTGTCACTTGCCTACTCCAAAGCTGGACAGGAAGCTTGCAGAGAGGGGCTCCCACCACAAGGCTCCCCCCGAGGGCCCTTTGAGGCAGTCCACCTTCACCCTGCCGCTCTCCAACCAGCTGTGTGAGTACAGGGCTGGGGCCGGGGGCGGGGGGGTGCCCTGGCTCACCTGGCAGGGTGGGTGCCAGCTTCGTGGTGGAGGGGACAGCGAGCTGTCTCCAGGCCTGTCTTCACAGCCAGACCTCCCTCCTCCTCACCCTCACGGCTCAGTTCTGTTCCCTAAACTTCTCTTTGCCCTTCAGTCGGAATTCAGCAATATATTTGCCCTTACCCTCTGCTGGGTGCTGTACATAAGGTGAAAGAGTAGAAGGGCAGGGTCCTGCCTTCAAGGAGCCCATGAACTTGGAAAACAGAGGGAGGATAGACAAGAAAGAGAATAGCGTCATAAAACACTTCCTATTTCCCCTGGCTTCATTATTAGGTGCCAAATAAAAGGATACACACACACACACACACACACACACACACACACACAGAGTCTTCTATGACCGTGTACATACATGGTCAGGGAGTGGACGGAGAGTCCCCTATGTTCAGGGAAGCTGCCTGGAGGAGGTGGGCTTTGGATAGACCTTAAACAATGGGTAGCAAAGAGGAGTGGGAGGGATTCCTCTGCAGAGGGACTGGCCTGAGCTACGACGTGGAGGCAGGACCACGCAGTTGGGCTGGAGCTCAGGGACTGTACAGGATCTTGGGGAAAGTGGAATCAGGAAGGCAGTTTAGAAGCTGATAGTGAAAGTCCTTCCCTGAAAGGGTTGTGGCTTCATCCTGTCCTCACTGAGGAATTGTGCTGGAGTTTGAGTACAGTGCAGAAATGAAGGAAACTTTGGAGGTGACACACAGCCAGTGGCCTGTGTGTCTTCAGAGGGTAAAGCCCTGTTTCTCCAACTCTGACCCCTCCTGCCCCTGTGCCCAGCCTCTGTGAACCCCTCCTTGGTGAAGGTGCACATTCACCACCCGCCCGAGGCCTCCGTACAGGTCCACCAGGTGGCTCGGGTGCGGGGTGGGGCCGAGGAAGCCCCGGAGGAGAACAGCGTGGAGACCAGACCCTCAGCCCGGCTCCCTGCCAGCCCCGGCCACAGCTACCGGGACAGCAACAGCATCCCCACTCGGTCTGGAGAGGCCCCTCAGCCACTGCCCCGAGCGGCACCCAGGCCTCGGGGACTGCTGGGCCGGTGTTACCTGAGCGCTGTGAATGGCCAGGTGAGAAAGCAGCTCCTACCTCAACCCTGAAGCTTCCAGAATAGTGATTGCCCCACCCCCCACTCTGCCCCTTCCCTCTTTCCTTCTCCTCCTTATAAAAAGTGAGTTAGTGCCTGCGGGCCCTCCCATTTCCCAGATGGAAAAACTCAGGACTTAAAATTGCCTGAGTGTAGAGAGGCTGAGCCTCCTCCTTGGGCTCAACTAGGAACCTGCCAGTGCACCCAGAAAACGGCCCGAGAGACTCCCCCTTGGAGAACCAGTGTCCTCGGGCCTGGGAAATCCTGGGCTTTCCCGGAGCTGAGTCTAGTCAACCCCGCCTCCCCCCAGTGTGTCCCGCCCCCCTGTGCACGGACGGTGGGGCTATTAAATCTGGAGCGAAAGATTTTGATATTCAGCTGAAATTGGAATCACAGAGATATGGAATTAGCAAATGCAGGTTAACCCCCAAAGCCTTGGGGGTGCAATGATGGAAGCAGCCTTAGACCATGACAGAAAACCCTGTGGGCTTTCTGAGCTAAGGCCCCTAAGAACAGGGGCAAAGCCAGACCTAGGATGGTTTTTCTTGGGCTTGCAGTTTGGTGTTTCTGGGAATCCCTCTTGAGGGTAGGGACCTGGAGGAGGTAGGGGAAGCCAGAGGATAAGGACTCTGAGTCCCCAACCCTCCCTGGCCTCTCAGCTTGTGGTGTCCCTGAGCCTGGGCCATGCCTACAGGGAAGGCTGGCACCTTGGGTGATCCTGGATTTTGACAGAGGGGAAACCCACCCTTCGGGACCCCCTATCTGTGGACTGGGACAGAAAGGAGACAGCGTGCAGACAGTGTGCAGAATATCTTATTTTGCCTGGGATGCTACAGACATAGATACACTCAAGTCCCCATCACTCAAGTTTAGGGTCTGGCTAAGGGGACTGCAAGTCTCTCTGCTTCCAGCCGCTGACACTTCCCTACCCTCCCTTGGGTGGGGGTATCCTTGGGCAAAGTGTTGGGGAAGGGAGCCCTCCTCTCAGGCTTTCCTGGGACATCTCTGTGCACAGCAGGGCAGGGCAGAAGGGGTGACACATGTCCATGGCCTTTTTTCTAGTGTGCCAACCCCCTGCTGGAGCTGACCACCCAAGAGGACTGCTGTGGCAGTGTGGGGGCCTTTTGGGGGGTGACCTTGTGTGCCCCATGCCCGCCCAGACCAGGTGAGTGCTGGGTGCCAGGGTCCAGGCTTGTGTGGGAAGCTGCCCCAGGGCCTGGCCTCTGCTGCCCCCCTCCACGCCCCTTAGGGGCCAGGCTGGTGCAACATGCTGATAGACTAGGCAGCCTTTCCAGATCTGCTTTGAGGGAACCTCTGGCCGATGGTCCAGGCTGCTCGGACCCTGTGCCGGATGCAGCCGGGCCTACCAGCTCCATCTGGTTTCCCGGGAGAGGTTCCTCCGTCTTGCCAGTTGTTCTTGCTCAGATTGTGGGAATCTCATCCCATGCTGGGCCCTCTCCTAACCCTGTACCCCCTTCCCCATACTCCCTGCCTGGGGATTAGGGGCCTGGAAGTTTGGGGTTGGTGACTTAGTGTTTCCCTCATTCTCTCCCTGGAGGGGCCCTCAGGCCTCCTCCTCGCCGCCTGTGTCTGCCTCCAGTCTTTGAATCAGGATTGGGTGTCTGTCCCAGAATGTCTTCAGCCTCGAGAATGGAAAGTCCAGTTCCCTGCCCTCTTTTGGACAGTGTGAGAAAACCTAACATGTATTTATTCATTTATTCATTCATGCACTCACTCAGCAAATACTCTCTGGGTGCCTCATCTGTGCCAAGCACTGAGAATTCAAGAGTAAGCAAAACGCTGTCCTCTCATAGGTGTTGACCTTGCAGTTGGAAGGCTGTCACGAGCATGGCTTCCGCCTGCTCAGCCTGTCTCCCCCCTCCAGGCCTCACTCCTGGGCCCGGTCTCGCCATGTATTTCTTTTGCCCGTCAGCAATCTACTTGGTGAGTCAGCTTTGTGGGGGGCCTGGACCGGAGCCCAAAGGTAGGAGGGGCAGAGCTGCTCTCAACTTCAGACTCGGCTTTGGAGCAGTGACCATATTTTCCTAACTAAAAGTAAGTGTGGATGGTTTCACAGTGCAGTGTAATTTTTGGTGAAACAGCAAAGGGTTGGACAGCTCCCAGACTTGAACATCCAGCACATACCAGGTATCAGAACCAGCGCTGCCCACGGCCTCTCTGCTCCGTCTCTGATCTACAAAGTGCAAACAGTGATAGTATCAGCCTCGTAGGGTTGCTGTGGAGAGTAAGCGAAATGATGCATGTGCTCAGTGTTAGCACCATAAACGGTCGTTGTTGATAGTATCACGAAAAAGTACGTCTCCAAAAAGGGAAAAGGGAATGGACCACTGCCCCTTGCAGAAGTGTGCCTCACACCGTTCAGCATCTCCCCCTGCAGGCCAGAGATGTTGTGGGCACTTTTCTTTTTCCCTTGTTTTCCTTCCTCCTCCTGGCCAGGCTGACCCTTGAGGCTTCCGTATCCCACATTCTACTGTCAACAGCTATTTATGCTGATGAAGCAAGTTTGAAGTGTCCCTAGTGTGCACGCCCTGGACCGACAGTGGAGAGTGAGGTTGGAATAGTGCCTCTTGTCTCCAAGTGTACAGTCTGGTGAGGGAGGGGGATGCAGACAGGTGATGGGCATCGGGAAAACAGTGCTCAGGTGGTGACTAGACAGTGGGAACAGACAGCAGAACGGGGGACCCTGGTGGGTCCTGTAGCAATATTGTGAAATTAGAGAAAAGCCCCCCTTTTATTTGCCCTAAACAGTCTTTTTTTCCTAAACAGTCTTTATAAATAAATATGCAAATCTAGGATGCCAATGGTCCCCTTAATGTGATCATTTCATGCAGTGTGCAACCTGTACATCTGTAGGAAATCCTAGCTCAAACTGGTGAATCAGGGAGAGCTTCTTAGAGCAGGTGACATTCAGGGTGAGACCTGAAGACTTACCAAAATAAGCCAGTCAAAGAGATGGGGAATTGTTCAACAAGCTAGGGAAATTGCATGTACAGGGGAGACCAAAAGAGCGAGCAACATTTCCTGGAGCACAGCACACCCAAGGCTGAGTCCCCACCCCCCACCTTCCTGTCCCAGGTGTCACCTCCCACCACCTCCCTCCCCACCCCGACTCCAACTGAGCCCAGCACGTTCAGCAAGCTGGGCACCAGGTTGCAGACCCTGGAATGTCAGGCGTTCTAGCACACCAAAGAACGTGATAGCAAAGACCAGCACAACATGAACATTTAGAACACATTACAGTGCAGCTGGGCATTGTACAGAGAAGGGGCAAGAGCTGGGAGCCTTGTTTGTGTTGACGGGGTGCCAGGACACCTGGCTCCATGCCCACACCTGGGGCTTGGTGGGCGGTGTTTGTTTAAGGAGGCACGACAAGCAAGCCACTGTGCAAGAGTGAGAAAAAGAAAGGCTGGCTGCCACGGTGGGATTGAGAATGGTGGGCAAGACTTCTGGGTTCTAGAACATTCTCAGCCCTGGTGGCTTGGCCTCTCTGAGCCTCTATTTCCCCAATAAAATAAAGCTTTTCCCCTCAGAGAAGAATTTCGTCATGCCCCATGAAGTGGTCTAGCAGAATTGGGGACGAGGGGAGGAACACAGCCAGCAGTAAGGGAGCCATGTGACTTCACTGCTTCCCCTACTTCACTTTTGGCTTCCGAGGCTCTGTGCTGACTGTCGAAGAAGGTTCCTGCAGAATGCTGCTATGTCTGACATGGAAGGGCTGCCCTGGAGTCTCGGCTATGACACAAATTCCCTTTTCTTCTAGAAAAATTCCCTAGTGCCCTCTTTCTCAGGGAGATGGCCAAGCCAGTCTAGATTAGCCCATGGTGCCCCCTTCTCTCTTCAGTGAGTGACAGATGTGGCTGACCTGCCTGACCCCTTGGGAGTTATCAAAGGTCCCCACTCAGAACTTCTGAAGTTCCCTGGCCAGGGTCTGGAGAGAACCTGGCTTTCAAAAGCCACTCTGATTGAAGCCACATTTTTTGAGTTTTCATCTGAGAAAGACAGACATCTGGGTTGACTGGAAAGTTGGCCACTGCCCCATCTGTCTTGGCACTGGCTGTGTCAACCCCAAGCCCCCTTTGCTGGGGCCAGCGGGGCTGGCACACAGCTCGAGGCTCGCATTGGTGGGCTCCAGCTGTTTGCCACGAGGTTGTCTTTCCATCTGCCTGGCAGGGGATGAGTTCCCCTTAGAATAGCCACCAGTCACTGAGCTTTTACACTACGCTAGGCTCACAGCTTGCAGGGTCTCATTTAGTTGTTACGACCACCTACAAGCTAAGGCTCCTTATCCCCTTGGACAGATGCGGAAAATTAAGTGCAGAGAAGGCTGAGTTCCAAGGTCACACAGTCAGGACAAGTGGAGCTAGACTTTAAACACCACGACATGCCAGATTCTCAGCTGACCCGGCTCCCCCTAATTATTCTGGGGAAGCCTGGCCAAGCCTAAAGACAACAGAAATCGGGATCCTGAGCCATAATTTCACAGACAGGAGGATGCACGCCAGGGCTGTATTTCATGAGTTATGTGTCCAAGAAGGACAATGTCCTTCAAGACGAGCGGGATTGTGCCCTGGCCAGTGTGGCTCAGGTGGTCAGGGTATCATCTTATAACTGAGAGGTTGTGGGTTCAATCCCTGGTTGGAAAATATGTCTGGTTTGGGGTTCAATCCCTGGTTCAGCATTTATGGGAGGCAACCGATTGATGCTTCTCTCTTGTATCAATGTTTCTCTTTCTCCTTTCTTCTCTCTCAAAGAGCAATGAAAAAAAATAGTGACCTCAGATGAGGTCACTCATCTCAGAAACACTTTTGTTTAAAAAAAGAAAGGTCCGGATTGAGTAGACAGGCAGGGCAGCAATCTGCAGCCCAGGCCTAAGAGTTAACAGAGTTGCACTGACAGCATAGTCTTAGGGAGAGGTGGGTGGGCTTGTTTCATCCCGTTCAGGAGGGCAAAGCTGGTGTGTGGCTGTTTCTGCTAAGCAGAGCTCAACTCGAAACTGAGCGTAAGGAACAGCTTATTAAAAATTGCAGCTGGGACTTCTGGTCAAGATGGCAGAGCAGGTAAATGCTATGCTTGCCTCCTCCCATGGCCACATCAAATTTACAACTAAATGGTAGAACAATCACCCTGGAGAACCATCTGAAGACAGCTGAACAGACCTCCCGTGACTAAGGATATAAAGAAGCAGCCATGTAGAGACTGAATTTTTAAAAAACCTCAACCACCCAGCAATATAATGGGGTGTGTCTAGAAGTGGTGAGCTCCCCGCCCCAGGGAGTGTGCCTACCTTGGTAGAAGGTTTGTAGAAGGAGTTGGGGAAGGAAATTGATTTTTGAAGGTGAAGAGTTTATATATACATCCAAAAATTTATTTGAAATACTCAATGTAAAGAAAGCTTGGGACTGGCTTTGTTTTATCAGGTCCTGAAAGGAATGTGACAGACACAGGTGTGTGATGCCGCCCCGGTGGAGGGTGGACAGGTGAGGGTGATTGGGGCATGAGGCCAGGCTGGAGGAGGGAAACATAAGGCAGGTCACAGCAATGACACCGTTGTCATCACCGTCACTGTTGTGCAGAGCACTTCATAAGCGCTAGGCACCATGCAGAGTGCTTCCTCATGTCACTGTATCCCAACAATATCTCTAGTAGCTTCAGGTGTTACTACCTTTCTTTCACTAATGAGGACACTGGGCCTGAAAACCCAGGTCTACGCAACTCCAGACCTCTGCTTCTAACCGCTCTCTCACTGCCTCCTGTGCTGCTCCTGGTGCCCTTGGCGTTGGCCAAACTTGAGGACCCCAGTGTGGGGAACAGCTGTGCTGGGGTGGAGTTCCTCTTCCCGGGGACTCTGGGTGAGACGCCCAGTCTCCTGACCTTAAACAAATGCAATCTTCAGAATTTCTGTTGTTGGATTGAAAAAAGCAGTGTGTCTTTGGCTTGGGGATGTTCTGAGAGCTTCTTCCATGAGGCTCAAAGCATCCTGGGAATTACGCCTGGACCCATGTTAGCGCCCTCCCTGCACAAGCAGGGCTGTCCCCAGCATGTGGTACCTTGGGCCTGGAGAGCGCCGGGAAGGGACCGGGGCAGGGTGGCTGGGTGGCACCTGCCTGAACTGGGGTCTGGCTGGACCTCTCTCCACCGCACTGTTTGTGGTGACTAAGGCGCCCACTTTGGCTCTAGTGCTCCCTGAGGAAGCAGTCAGAGCACAAATTGGGCTGGAATGTCTACAGTATTGGGAGGATCCATTAGGATTTCACCAAGGAGGACAATCTGGAATAATGAACATTATGGTAATTACCAACATGTGACAAGCATTATGCTCAGAGTTTTACATGCTTGTTCAGTGTTCACAGTAACCCTCCCAGGAAGGAATTGTCACCCCCATTTTATGGATACAACAAATGAGGCTCAGAGAGGTTAAGCAAGTTGCCCAGGTCTCTCCAGCCAGTGAGGAGCTGCAGACCAGTTTGCTATTCTTGAGATTGTGTGGAAGGAAGGAAGGGAGGGAGGGAGGGAAGGAGGGAGAGGGGAGGAAGGGAGGAAGGAGTGCGCCTTGGGGAGCAGCCAGAGGCTGTGGCAGACACCATGCTAGCCTCAGCCTGACGCTGAGCACCTCCATCTAGTGGGTCCTCACAACAACCCCCAAGTTGAGTTTCCATCCCCACTTCTACAGATGAAAAAATTAGACTGAAATCAGTTTTAAAAAAGACTGAAGGGTGTTAAGAAATGTGCCCAGGTCCCACCACTCTGACTGGAGCCAGGAATTGGGTGCAGGTCTGCCTGCCCCAGCACCCACCGGTTTTCACCTACTACTCTGGGAAATAGAACTTTCTCTCCAGCTTTCCTGCCTGCACTTTGCAAACTGGGGTTCGGCTCCAGCCTGCTCACATGCCCCTGCACACCGAGCTCGACCTCATCCACCTCATCTGGTATGTGTGACAGTGTGTGTGTGCACCCTCTGGGCAGAGGGGTGTGTGGCAGGGGACCCTCCACATCTCCCTGCCGCAGCCGTCTGTCATCACAGGCTGAGACAGCCCTGGCTTATAAAGAGCCATGTGGCCAGGCTTACGTCTCCACCTCCTTCCCGAGCTCTGTCATGGAGTCAGGGCCAAAACTGTCTCCAGCAATTAGTTCGCTCTTGTTGAGGCCTTCCTGGGAGTTCCAGCAGCAAAGGGAGAGAGGTAGCAGGGCAGGGGTGGGCTGCAGCCGGGGGTCTCTGCTTCCTCCCTGGTCTGGGCCCAGGCTGAGGTGCACCAGTGAATGGACAGCTGGGGAGGGGGGCCAGAAGACCTGGGTGCCAGGCCCAGGTGGCCCGGGTCTCCTTACGCTTGTGTGTCCTACTTGACTCTCGGGCATTTTGTGTCCTCCAGACTCCCTGGAGTTCAGGCTGATCCCAGCTGACCCCTCAGGAGCTGCTTTGGCCTCCTTGGGTCTAAGAGTCCCAGTGGCAAGGTCACCTGCATCTTCCCAGTGTCTCCTCAAAGCACCCGTGGAAATCGGGGTTAGCAGCCATTCTCTCTCCCCACTTCTCCCAAATCCTCCGCTCCCTATGCACTGGCCCTTGAGCTGGCTGAGCAGCCCCGGGGGGTGGTAGAGTTCTTCATCATCCCTTTATTGATCTGGCACTTCGGCCATGGACATTGGGGAGCACATACCCAGCTTCTAATCAGCTCTTCTGGCCTCCCCCTGGGCATCCTTCTGTTTTCTTTTGTTTTTGATCCTCACCCAAGGGCATGCCCATTGATTTGAGAGAGAGCGAGGAACTCGATGTGAGAGAGAAACATCCATTGGTTGCCTCTTGTATGTGCCCCTATCAGGAATTGGACCTGCAGCCTCAGTACGTGCCCTGACTGGGAATCGAACCCACAATCTTTTAGCGTATGGGATGACACCTCAACCAACCGTGCCACCCGGCCAGGGCTCCTTGTCTTTTTTTTAATTTCCCATTTGTTCTCCTGATCTCTTGTAAGGAAAAATGGGAAGGGGGCAGGGGGGGGAGGGAGGACTCCCAGAAAGGGTGATATGCTTCTTTCTGGCAGGCATCTTCCTGTGACCTCCGACCCTATGATCCTCAGCCTGGACACCCCCTCAGGCTTGCCATGAATTCAATCATTTACTTACTGGGAAACAATAGAGAGGAATGGTTCAGAATTTACCCCCTGGGATAATGCCTGGGATCATAATCCCAGCTCCAGCCTCCTGCTGGGGGACTTTGGGCATGTTTCCTAACCCCTCTGTGCCTCAGTTTGCTCATCTGTAAAATGGGGATAGTATTAGTAAGTAGCTCCAAGGGTTGTTATGAGGATGAAATAAGTAATGTGTGTAAAGTTTTCATAATAGGGCCTGGACCATAGTGAGTTCTGCTTTAGGGTTTGCTCTCATCATTCACTCAGTTTTGACTGAGCATCCGTACTGCTCCATGTACTGTGCTCGGTTCTAGAGACACGGTGACAGTGAAGGAGACGAGGTCCTCGTCCTCCCAGAGTTTGCACTTTATTGGGGGAGAGGGGCAAGCGAACAGCCTGCCGTGTTATGTGCTGTTAACAACAGGGGAGCGCCAGCCAGCGTGTGTTGGGGGCACTTGAGAGGTGCACCTGGGGGCGCTGCCAGGAGTGGCGATGCCTGCCCCCCCACTCGGACTCGCACAGCTCGGGTGCTGGAGCCCAGTCCCCCACAGAGTGACGGGCAGGCCCTGAGTGGGGCTTTCCACAGCAGGGGCAGGTAGTGCAACTTATGTTCACATCTTTTTAATCTTAAAAAAGTACGCTTTACTAATGGTCTGTCTGTCTGACTGCCACCTGTCATGGTTGGCACACACAGAGGCAGGGACGAGTGGGGTTGCAAGAAACGGGGGCACCTCCCCTGTTTGTCTGGGACATCACAGCACACAGCACACGGCGGTGCGTGGCAGACGAGGCTTTCCAACTGCGTTGTCCAATTTTAACCTCAGCAAACCTCACCAAGTGGGGAAGCGACTCAAAGATCCCTGCAGAGAAACCGGGTTCAAAATAAGACTAATGACATAATTGCAAGTAATCATTAAAAATATGCTAAGCTGACACTTCCCCTCTACCGTGTAATCAGCCTTGGAGGCCAGCATCCAACCGACCGAGAAGGCCACGTGAACTATGGTTTATATCTGCTGTCGTTCCTGACAGGCCTTGCCTTGGGTGTATAACGTGCCCTGAGACAGCACCTAATGACAGGCTTGAAGCTGTCTTGATAAAAAAAAAATTAAAAACACCAAGACACTCAAACTTTGCTGTACCATTGACTGAAAGTATAGCTATTTCTAACATGTCTTCTGGTATTTGCAAGAATCTATTTCAACGATAAAATATATGAAGAACTATCTTTTTCTGTAAGCCACGAAAGAAAAAATGAACTGGAGGACACATATTCCCGATAGTAAGTGAATTCCTGAATTAAAACAAAACGAAATAGAACAAAGCGCTGGCAGTGCACCTGCAGACACAGCGTGTGGTTCGGCGATACGATGGAAATGCCGAGTGTGAAACCCCTTCAGCCCAGACGTCACAGGCGAGCTGTCCCCGCAAAGGAGTCAAAGCCAGAAGGCGGCAGAGCGCTGCAGGGAGTCATCATGCAGTCAACTGTACAGAACAAGACCTTTATAGGACGGTATCTTTATGGAACTTTGTGTTCAAACCATGCCTGCCAAAATCCCTTGAACCCTTTGAAAATGGCTGGCTATGTCCTTCTTGGTAGAGGAATTGTCAAACTTAACGATGAGCTATTCTTTTTCAAAAAACAAGAAGATGGGTGTCCCTAGTTGCCGCCTTTCTCTGTGATGACAGGTGGCTGTCCGGAGTACGCTGCCTGGTGGGGCTTTTCGACAGGGTCCACAGACTAGTCTGTCCCCCCAAAGTAACAGACTTGCCCCTGTTCTCATGTAGCATAAGTAGTTTTTTATTGCTGTGCAAAGTAAAAGGGGTGTTGTGAAATCAAATCAGAAGTATCAGCACCAGAATACAGAGAATTATTTCCTCACTGTGGGATGCCGTAAACTGCCTTCATTCTCATACTTGAGAAACTTGAAAACTGGAGTTTTCTGACTTAGAATTTGTAAGAACAACAAAAACTGACTTCCCTGCGGGAAAGATGGAAATTTGCTGCCAGATTTCAACAGCATCACATGGCCGGTAAATGTGAGTGAAAAGTAAAGTCATGGTTTTATAAGCGCAGTCACTGATGAGTTTCTTCCATGTTGAGTAGGACATGTTGTCAGTTACAGCAGCATTAAAACCAACTATCAAAATAGACTGGACTAAGCCAGGGTGTGAATTGTTGTATCCAGATGGTTAAAAACCAATAAAACAACCGTAGTTATGTACGATGTGACCATTAGGAGAAACTGGGTGATGGATACTCGGGTACTAACTATTTTCTGCAACTTCCTGCAAGTCTACAATTACTTCAAAACAAAAAGTTTTTTAAAAGTAATAAAAGGTGTTCAATCATATGGGATATTGCATTACATCAATATAGTATACTATAAACTGTATAATACTATAATTATATACAAGATACATAGTTACTTCATGTCATTTTTTTAAGAGCAAGGTAGACTGAAAGTAGCTTGGCACAGCTGGTGATGGCTTAAGAAATGGGGTTTCGCAGCTACAGAGTGGCCCGGACATCCAGACCGCACCCCACTTCCTCACGTGGGTGACAAAGGATCCCAAGGGCCCTCACTGAGACCTGTCTGTGTCTTCACTCCCCAGCCTCCCCAGTGATTGAAAATGGCCAGCTGGAGTGTCCCCAGGGGTACAAGAGACTAAACCTCACTCACTGCCAAGGTAAGGATGACCAGGGCCGAGGCTGTGCGGGGGGAGGGAATGACAGAGGCCTGATGACGCAGGGACTGCCCCCTCACCCTGCCTCATCGGTGGGCACTGCCTGCGTGGTCTCCACTGGGCACCTCTAAGCCCCACCTGGAGGAGCTCTGGGGGTGCTGGTTGCGAGGCCCGAGGAAGTCAGGGGATAGGAACAGAGCAAGCTGAGGAGGGACCTGCGGCTGAGCCCAGCCCCCCACCCCATCTCCACCCGCCCCCTCTGGGACCTGGGCCAGGCACTTCTCTAGGAACTCATGGTGCTCTGTCTGAGGGTGCCGCCCCACTTTCCAGATGTCCACTCACCACCTGGGCTGATGTCCCTGGAATGGGAGGACTTTTGACCCCAAGGTGGGAGATCCAGTCAGCCCAAGTTAGTGGGGACCTCTGTGGACCTTCTCCAGCCAAGCCCATCAGTGGCTTTCCCTGCCTCATCCCACTGCCGGGAGGGGGAGATGGGAGGGCACAGGTGGAGGAGAAGGGACCATGAAGCACAACCCCTGGCCTTGCGGGCCTGGCTGACCGGCTCTGGGAGATCCGCTGGGCCCAGGGTGCCCTGCATAACAGATCCCCCAGATGGACAAGGCCCAGGGGTGCCTCTGGACAGAAGGGTGGGAGGTGGGGCTCAGCTATGGCTTTGTCATACAGGGAGTTCCAGTGGGGGTGGGGAGTGGGACCAGGATGGCAGAGGGGCCCAGGAGGCTTCACAGAGGGAGGTGGCTGCTGCCACTCCCCAGCTGAAGCTCTGAGTGAGGAGCCCCGGGTGGCTGTGGGCCTGGCCGCAGGTGTGATGTGACCGGGCCGTTCAGGCTGTGAGAAGCTTCTGGGGCTGACAGGTCCGTGAGGAACGAAGGCAGCTTCCGCCTCAGAAAGCTCTGAGAGCTGGATGCACTGCTGTCTCTGTGGCTACTTTGGGTGAAGCTGCATGAGAGACAGGGGGTGACCCAGGTGGCCTCCTCGGCACCTTCCCCCGGAGGCCTCTTCAGGGCTGTGGAGTCTGAGGAGGCCCCGGGCGGCCGGGCTCTCAGCGTGTGGGGCGCCAGGCCCCAGGAGGATTTCCGGCCTGTGGGAAAGAAAAGGAGTTTGGACCAGGCAAAAGGGCCGACATGTGCCCAGCCCAGCCTGGGGTCCCCCTCCCTCTGGGGCGGTGGGTTGAGGGCCCAGTGGGCAGTGGGTGTGGACAGCTGTCTGTACTCTTGCCCTTGGAGCTGCAGGAGGGCTGTTCATATTTAAACTGTCTCCAGTGGCCTCTCCTCCTGGCAATTTTCCCAGCCCAGGAGGTTCAAGTTATTTCCAGAATCTCACATGAGCTCTGCCCTCCATTCCCGGAGTCCGCAGGATACGGGACGCCGAGGGGCCCTCCCTGCAGACCCTGCCCCTGAATCCTCCCCCTCCCACATCCATGGCGGTAGTCTCATGTCTGCAAAGGGACCCACCCAACGCTGCACCCATGGGTGCCACCTCCCTCTCCCCCCACCCTCTCCCCTACTCCCACCGGGTGATTTTGGGGTGCGGTTGTGAGCTGTGTACATTGTGCCGTGTGCTGGTACCCAGGAGGGCCAAGACCTCGCTGCCACGCCAGGTGAAGACAAGCACCTGAACAATTACACACTGCAAGAGACACGCTCTGGGCAGAAAACAGCACTGGGTGCTATGGGATCACTCAGCGGGGGCCCTTCCCTGACTGGAGGACACCTGACCTAGACTTGAAGAAAGGGGAGAGCTAGCCAGCTCACAGGGTTCTAGGAGCTGGGACGAGCATACTCGAAGGAGTAGTTTAAGCCAGCTGGGGTTCAGCCTGCATGCACACAGCAGGTACGCAGGCATCCCAGGGCCTCATCAATGCACCTGCTCACCCACAGGCTTCAGAGAAACATGGCGGAGAGCCTTGGGTACCATGCAAGGGTGTAGGGGCTCCCAATGGGGTGGTAGGGAGCCCGGAAGCTTAAGAAGAGGGGAAGCAAGTCAGGTTTGTGTTCAGACGTATCACTCTGGCCAGTCTGGAGGCACACAGATCAGCGTCCCTCCCCAGCCATCCCTCCCAGGAGGGCATCCTGACCAGGGGGAGGTGGTCAGAGCCAATTTCTCAAGGGCTCAGGCCCTTCATTTCTGTGCTCAGAGCCGATTCCTCCAAAGCCTGTGGGTGAGCGGGTGGCTCCGATGATGCCTCTGGCCCTGGCGGTGGACGCCCCTCACACATCTTCACACTCACCATTATTGCTGCCACCACGGTTAACAAAGGTGACACTGCCCAGTGGGGCAGCGACTTCTTGGAGCTGACAGTGTGAGAGTCGGGGTCTCCTCTTCACAGGGAGAAGCTTCTGTCATGAAACAGTTTTGAGATCACAGAGGGAGCTCATGGAGCTCCCTTATCCAAGGCACGGCTTGCGTGTCCCCTGCTCACGGGCGGGGGTGGTGGGGGAGTGGCCTGCCTGAGGCTGGGGTGTTCGGAGGGCCTGCAGACCTGCCCTCCTAACCCTCTGCCTCCCAGCACCTGCCTCCCCCTCCTGGTCGGGGCACCTCCCTCTGCAGCTCACTGCGTATGAGTTCCCCAGACCTTGGGTTCCGCAGAGATGCTTCCGGGTTTCCCAAGGAAAGCTGGATGGGAGGGACTGGGAAGCCCTTTCTGCACCCTCCAGCCCCACTGTCCCCTTATCTGCTGGCCCTGTCTGCATCCCAGCACGCCGCTTACCCCTGAGCGACTCTGGGCAATTTACTCCCGGAGCTTCAGTTTCCCCACCTATAGGGTGAAGACGTGTGAACCTACTTGATAAAATCGTGAAAATTGAGTGAGGCATCACATGCAATAGGCTCTCAGAAAACATTAGCTCTTACTATTACGGTTATTATTACCAGTCACAGGACCAAGGAAGTGATTTGCCATGTTGATCTTGTTTTATCCTCCTATTCCAGCCCATCTGGTAGTTTACTCTTATTATGCCCATTTTACAGATGAGGAAGTTGAGGCACAGAGAGAGGGATCGAGTTAATAGAAGGCAGCTCCCTGGTTGTTGTCCTTTTACTTGGAGGAACTATTGGAAGATCTCTGCCCCAGCCCTGCCCTGCGTCAGGCCGTGGTGGGGCAGGCCCCTGGTCATCTCCTCCCACCCCGCAGATATCAACGAGTGCCTGACCCTGGGCCTGTGCGCGGACGCGGAGTGCGTGAACACCAGGGGCAGCTACCTGTGCACCTGCAGGCCCGGCCTCATGCTGGACCCATCGAGGAGCCGCTGTGTGTGTGAGTGCTGGCGGGGAGCAGGGGTAGGGGACACAGGAAGGTAAGATGGGACCCTCAGGGACCACGGGCCAGGCCCAGAGCAGAAATTCCCCCCAGGCTCCATCCCTTGGCCCAGTGTCTGCTACTCAACCTAGAACTGGGCCCCATGTACATAACTGGATCTGTCCCCTCCTGATGGGACAGAGGCAGCTGCTACCGCACTTTGGGCTTTAGGCATTTTTTGGGGGGGGGTTGGCAGTTTGGGATTTTCTACTCCTGTTTTCCCTCTAGTCATTTCTGGCCCCTCGTGACCTCATTTGCCATGGAAGGGTCGGTGTTGCTTCTGCCCTAACATCTGGCTGAGTGGTGGCTGCCTCTCCCAGCGTCTGAGCTTGGCCGCCTGCTCACTTAGTGCAGGCCTTTGGGAAAGGGCCTGTCTGCAGCCTGAATGCCGCCGAGGCCTGACCCCGGGGCCTTCCCATCACCCTGCAGTCCCTCGTGGTTCTGAGTGTGTCTGCGTCTGTGAGCACGTACATGTCACGAGTCGTATTAGCATTGTGTGCGTGCGTGCACACCCAGGCAGCTGTTTCCACTGACTTTTGTGGGTTCCAGCGGGGAGGGGCCCAGGCTGACAGGCCCAGACGGGGCTTTCCTGGGGCAGTGAGGTCTGACCAGAGCTGAATAAAGCCAGTCCTGACTGGCCGCTGCCAAGGGACAGCCCAGATCTGGCCAGCCACCCTGGCTCAGCAGAGCTCCCTGGGGCTAGCTAAGCCCTCAGTCTGCAAACCACGAGGTCCTGGGTCTGAGGAGACCACAGAATGAACGTCCCACAGTGCCACTCAGAGGGAGCACCTGTGGGAAGGGCGGACTCTGCCCAGTGTGTCTCTCCCGGGAGAGGGGACACCCAGAGAGTGAGGGGCCCAGGCTGGGGAGGACCTGCCAGGCTGCTCTCAGGAGGAGCTCATGGTGACAGGGACATATAATCAAGGCCTCCAGGGGCTTCCGGCTCTTCCTCCTCCCCACCGCGCCCTCCCCCCCCTCCCCCCACAGCTGACCACACCCAGAGCCCTTTATTAGGCAGGCGTATTTAATGTCTGAAGTGACGTGTTTATTGGTGCCAGAAAGAGACCTTTCATGCAGAGGGAAGCAGAGGTGGCCCTTTTCTTTCCCTCTGTCCTTAGTATTACCCCTTCCAGCCGCCTCTGATGATTCCTCTCCCCAGGAAGCGGGTGCTGAGACTAAGCGTCTGAGCCTTGCTCTCCTTCCTGTCACCTGACCAGGGCTGGGAGGACAGCTCCGCGGCCCCTCTGGGCTGGGGAGCCTCTTGATACACCCAGCGGTGTCGCCTTGCCCTGGGGCTTCACGTGACCAAGCCTTCCCTACAGCATCCCAAAGGGAAGTGGCCGCGGGAGGCAGATTATTTTTTATCTGGTTGGTTGTTGGTTTTGGGGGGGCGGGGGTGGGGCAGGAATCAAACCTGGAGACGCAGGCTCCTGGACTGACCGACAAATGACCTGTGTATAACACATGACCTTTGACAAGGCCTCTTCTCACGTGTCGCTGTGAAGAAGGTGTATTAGTCAGGTGCCTTTGGGTTACAAGTGACAGACACCCAGCTCAAACTACCTTAAGAAACAGTAATTCTTCAGTCCACACAACTAGGAGGTCTACAGGTAGGTGTGCCTCAGGCTTGGCTGGATCCAGGCACCCTCGGTGTCTTTAGAATGTCTCTTGCTCTCTTTCCTCCGGGTTGATTTCTTGGTCCTTCAAAGGTACCCACCAGATGATTCGGGCCTACATCCTCCCAGCTTTGTAAACTCAAAAAAAAAAAAGGGGGGGGATGGGGAATAAAAGTCATCTCTTTTCTAATAATTCAGGAGCAGTCCCGAAGCTGATTATCATCACTGGGCCTGCTTACCAAGCGCCCACCCCTGACTCAGTCCCTGGGACCAGGGACAAGGACTGCTCTCCTTCAACCAGGAAGTTGGGGGGGCGCCAAGAATGGGGGGGTGGATCCCACGGAAACACAGGAGGCCGCTACCAGAATGTGAGGGACAGGCATGCACCACCCATGGGGTCACCGTCATCATCACCCTTATTTCACGCATGAAGAAAACAAGGCCCAGGAGGTTACAGAGCTCAGGGTGGAGCAGGGAGTGGAACTTGGGCTGCTGGGTCCTGGCCAGGAATCCCCAGAGTCATCAGATCCTCAGTGTCGAGTGTTGCCCCCTTCACCCCACCCTGTGCCCCCTCATCCAGCCCTCTAAAGATTTCAGTCCCTTACAATGAGGCATGACCTCATCTTCTGCTGAGGTAATTTATAGGAGAACCTACAATATTTGCTATCAAAGTACAAGCAAGGGGACAATGGAGGTGGCACTGTTATTTTCGAAACCCAGCCTCGCTCGCACTCACTGCAGTCCACTGGATTCTGATTCATGGATCCTGCCGTCCATCAGCCCAGTCTGCACGTACTGAGCGTCTGCCTGCTGCTGCTGCATGCAGGGGGCCTGGGTTGCAAAGGTGGCAGAGTCCCTGTCCTGATAGGGCCCCCTCAGGCCTTTGGTTCTCACCTCCTCCCCTCTCTCCGGGGAGACTGGCCCCCAGAGCCCACTGCTCCCCACCAACGCCAGGCCCATGTCGGGCTTTGGGGATCACTTACCATTTAGCACCTGGGGACAAGTAGGCACACCCCCATTTCCCGCTGTCAGATTCTCCAAGTGGGTGGGAGTAAGGGGTTCCCTCAACCAGGTAACATGAGGAGGTGCTGAAGCTTCCACAACAGCTGTTCCGCCCCATGACGTTCCTGTGAGCGTTTTCAGGGCCCACACGCCCAGGCTGTGACACTGGCCAGGCCAGTCAGAGTGCACGCGACTGGCACCTCCTCCATCCTCTGCCCTCTCTGCTGTGCTTCCCCTCCCCCGGGCCACTGGCGCGGCCCCACCTGCTGTGTCTGTTGCAGCGGACAAGGCCGTCTCCATGCATCAGGGCCTGTGCTACCGGGCCCTGGGGCCCAGCACCTGCACGCTGCCTCTGAGCCAGAGGATCACCAAGCAGATATGCTGCTGTAGCCGAGTAGGCAAAGCATGGGGCAGCGAGTGTGAGAAATGCCCCTCTCCTGGCACAGGTAACCCTCGGTCCCCTTCTCAGCTCTGGCCCCCATGGGGCTTCTTCCTCTGAGCCAGTGGTCCTTCTCCCCTACGGGGACTCCAGTCTTCCTTCCCACTCGGCTCCTTAACCCAACCTGGAGTCCCTCTGTCCTTGCTGCCTCAGGAGCCCAGTCCCCCCTAGGGAGGGCAGGGAGGGCCCTGGGTTCCTGCAGGAGCAGCACCTCTCAGCATGTCCTCTGACCACGGGCCTTGCAGAGTCCTTCAGGGAGATCTGCCCTGCCGGCCATGGCTATACCTACTCGAGCTCAGACATCCGTCTGACTGTGAGGAAAGCGGAGGAGGAGGAACTGGCCAGGCCCTCGAGGGAGCAAGGGCCGAAGAGCGAGGGGACCCTGCCCCGGCCGGTGGAGAGGCAGCCACTCAGGGAAGTCACCAGCACCTGGCAGGAGGCCGAGACCATCCCCGACAAAGGTATCAGGGCTGGGGGAGATGCCTGCGGGGTTCCCCTTCCCCCTTGGATTACAACACCTCACAGAGCCACTGGGAGTTCATCCTGGACACACAGCGTCTCCTCTCTGGAGCCTCAGGAAAGGGAGTTTGGAGCAGCAGCACCCAGCCTGGGAACCTGCTCTCCCGACCTGGCATGACAGGAACGCCTCACTCCTTCCTCTCCCACCTGGGGTCCAGAGGTGCCCACGTCCCAGGGAGTTGCTGATGGAGGTGGGAGAGGTCAACTGCAGCCCCCACCCCAGCCGATCGGGCCTTTCCACCTCCGCCCCCGGCCACGCAGCAGCTGAGGCTGGCGCTTGCTGCAAGGCCCAAAGAGCCGGCTGGTGGATCCTGGGGAGCCCGGGTGCTATCGACCCCCAACCCGGCCGCAGAGTCAGAGCACTGACTCCAGCTCAGCGTCCCTGGGCTCAGGAGGCCTGGGGCTGGGAGGAGACCGGGCTTGGGCACCCCTGGCAGGTGCCCTTGGCGAACCGTGCAGAAGACAGGCCCAGGTTACTGGGAACACCAGCGGGCAGGAGGCCAAGGACGCATTAGGACCAGGGGAACTATGAGATGGCCATAGCTGCTCCAGGCACCTGGAATAAACAGATAAGGAAGTCAGGGCAGCCTGAGTTGTCATGGGAACTGGACACTGGCCAAGCCAGCAGCAACTCCTTCCTAGAACCGTCCCCCTGGCCTGTAGCCCGGGCGAGGGGCGGAGTGAATGGGTGTGACTGGAGGCTTGGGAGGGAGGAGGTGGCGGGGTGAGGAGGAGAGGTACAGCTAGGACCCACAGGGTGGGCCGAATCAGGTGGGCGGGGGCTCCTGCCAGCAGAGACTTAGAGGGAAGCAGGTCTGGGACACACCTCGTCGGCAGAGTCTGGGATGTGTGGTGGCCATTCTCCGTGGGGCAGGAGGGACAGAGGCAGGCAAGAAGAGTCTGAGGTCTCTCCCCCACTGACCTGCTGGGGACAAGGTCAGGAGGTCACAGACTGAAACAGCCCTGGCCGTGGGTGGAGGGGAGAAGGCAGCCAAACTGTCCTCCCTGAGCTCACGCTCTCACCTTTCCTTCCCAGGTGACTCTCAGGCTGGCCAGGTGAGTGAGTCCCCCCACGGGGGAGCTGGGCAAGCATGGCACAGATGGGGACCCATGGCCACCGAGGCTGCAGGGCAGTGTCCTGGGAGGGAGGAAAGGGAGAAGGATGGCATGTGGGACTTCACTGGAGAGATGCTGAAGGGGGAGGGTTGAGCCAAACACTCAGTTTTATCCTAAAGAAATTAACAACAACAGCTACTGTTGGTCAAATAGCTTCTAAGCTTTCTCGTTTGGGATGGTCTGTGGCCCCCTTCAGAAAGGAAGTAGGAACGTCTCCTGTTCGGGCTGTCACTCAAGCAGATGAGGTCTAGAACTGAGTCTGGATTAATTTCAAATCAGGCACTTTCTGAGCTTGATTTGCTTAAACCCCAAGGTCTCCTCTATGAGTGGCTCATGGGGACATGGGGGGACTGCCTCGAACCACTTCACTGAGAAATGGGGCTCCCGCCCCTTCTCCGTGCCCCGGGGTCCCCTGTAAAGAGCTGAGCGTTCTCCTAGAAAAGCAATCCAGAACAGCGATCTGCTTCTTCCCTCGCCAGTCTGCCGGTCCCTTCCCTGTCCCCTTCCCTGTCCCCCGCCCCTCCAGCCTGCTCACCCGACTGCCCCCCAACACCAGTTTTCTAAGGAGCTGCCTCTCCTTCTGGAGGACCACGTGCCATCTCTCCAGACCAAAGCTCCACTTCCAGTCCTCTGTCCACCTCAGCCCATCCTCCTCCTCCTGGTCCCCAGGGTTTGTCCACCTCTGCCCGTGGGCTGTGGGGAGGGACAGCAGGTAGGGCCTAGGACCCCAGCTTCATGTCACTGGCCCTGTGACACTGGGCAGGCTAGTTAACCTCTGGAGCTTCTGCTGCTGTGTCTGAGGTCACAGCATGGCTACAACACTGGCTGCTGTGACACTGGCTGGTGCACTACATACTTGGGTCCCTTTAGTCATCACAGCCGACGATCAGAGGGCAGCTGAGATTAATTAGGTGTAGACAGGAAGTGCCTAGTAGGACACCCAGCACGTACCACACACTGATCAGCTCTGGGAGTGAATGGAAAAGTGAGTGAGTGGGTGAGTGAGTTGGGCGGGGAGCCGGGTGGAAGGCAGTGTGTCACAGGGTGACAGAGGAGCCAAGAGAAACATCCTCTTATTTCTGTGCAGGTCACAGCCAGTGTTACCCAAGTACCTGCCTGGGTCCCAGGTGAGTCCCTCCTCCTACTGGCCCCCAGCTAACAGAGAAGCAGGGAAGGAGAGACCATCTCGTAGTGGCCTTAGTGCGTGTGTCACACAGGGCTCCAAGCAGATGAGGTCACACGTGACAACGTGACATGTGACCTCCATGCACCTATGGAGCTGGTTAGGCCAGCAAGGCACAGTGATGCTTTGCAAGTCTCCCGACCACAGCGTCCTTTCCGCATTCCGAGAGCCACCCAGCACGTACAGGAGACTGAAGAGGAAGCGGTGGGCGCAAGGAGTCGGTCCCCAGAGCTCTTCCGCCAGTGCCTGTCTTCCCTTGGGAACAGTTAGGGCTCTGCAGAGCCCAGCTGGGCGGTCGCTGGGGTTGGGGACAGAGCACTGTTCCTAAGTCAGAGAGCTGGGCTTCTGCTTCTTCTGGTAGAAAATGGGCACTAACACCCGCCCTGCTGCCTCCCAAGGCAGATGAGGTGCTGGTGTTCGCGGCAGGGCTCTGTAAACAGTGAAGCGCTTTGTAAACAGAAGAATGCAGAAGTGGGGAAGACCCGGCTTTGGCTCTGTGGCCGGGGAGCTAGGTAGCCTCGGGCAAGTGGCCATTTCTGCCAGCTCCCATCTTCTGGCTTGTGAAATGGAGCGTGAGACTGGATGAGCCTAAGATCTGATGGACTCTCAGGTTCTCTGACACCATCTAGGGCCAGGTCAAGTCTCAAGAGGCTGGGAGGCAGAAGGGGTGGCCCGCCCTAGGCTCCATCCCTGGAGGTGGAACAGCTGGGGCGAGGGAAGGGCTCCTGCCAGCATCTCCAGAGGGAGCACTGTCCCTGGTGGGAAGGCAGGTGGCCAAGGGACTGTGCCCACCTGTTCCCCCTCCCCTTTCTCCCTACAGAAGATGCCACAGGAAGACCAACGCCACCACTGCCTGGACCTGGGATTCCAGGGACCCGGGAAGAAGAACCAGTGACCACCCCAGCCAACGTGCTGGTGACCCCGGGCCCCCCAGGTACCTACAGCCAGCCCTGTGAGGGGCAACCACTTAGAGCCAACCCCAGGGCTGTAGGCCAGATGAGCCCCCCCGAGCTCAGTGCCCCTGACCTCACCCCATGGAGACCGAGGGGTGCCCTAGCAGACACAGGGGTCTTGATGGAGCATGATTCCAGCCAGGAAGGGGAAAGAGAAGGGACACCCTGGGGAAGGTCTCACTCAGAGATCTTCCTGGAGAATCCAGGGGGCCTCCAGAGGACGGGGAGCACTCGGAGCCCCAGGGGCCTGGCTCTTGCACTGTGACCCTGAGGCATCTGCGTGCCCTGGCAGCGGGCAGCGTCCTCCTCGGGGAGGGCTGACTTCGGGCTGTCCCCCAGGAGCCCCCAGGCTGACACTGGGAGCCATGCCAGTAACAGGATAGTCTACCAAAGGGGCCAGTGTGCCTGTTCAGTTCGGTCTGATTTAGCAAATGCTGTGAAGCCCCACTGTGCCACCACAGGCCACATCCCGAGCCCTTCCCTGGGTCTCCAGGGTTACCTCAGGGCTGTGGGTCAGGGCGGGGGTGCCCAGGCCGAGAGGGCTTCCCGCTGAGACATCAGAGTGCACGCAGGGGCCGAAAGCATCGGTCATTCAGCCCGTGGCCTGTCCGCTCTGTGTGCCGTAAGTGCAAGGCGCCTTTCCAGTGCTGGGGACAGAGTTCGTAAAGCTGCTCTCCGTCCTCTGTGCAGCCTCCACCCCGAGTCCTGGAGAGTCTCCAGATTGTTTCTGAAGTCATTGTCTGTCTCCGCTTTTTACCCCATACCACCCACACTGGTCCTTGTTTAAACTGTTCCAGCAGGTCTCCACGGCCCCGTGTGCCTTCCGTCCCATCCTTCTGAGTGAGGGGCATGGCAAGACGAGTGCGTGGTCTTTCAGAGACAGCTCTGGTCACACGCCCTGGGCACGACCCCCTTGCTCACACCTCTCAGTGTGGCATTTAAGACCCTGCCTAGTGGGCCCCAGTCCCTCTCCCCCGTTCTCCTAGAACTTCTCCCTAAGCACCCCGCTCACCAGATCTGTCTGTCTGTCTAGGGGAAATGGGCAGGATTAGCCAGGGAAAGGAATTGCTGGGCACTGGGGTGAGAGCCGGGCCCGTATTCAGGGAGCAGTCAGGCTGGAGACCTCAGCAGGGCAAGCCCTCCTCAGACTCAGGACATGGATCATTGGAATGTGCTTGGTCTGGGTCAGAGTGGTGTGCTCTTTCAAGCTTCATTCCGGTAGGGCTCAGGGCCCTGGGGGACATCTGGGGGTGTGGGGGGGTGGGAGGGACTTATATAGCCCATGCTGTATGTGTGAATGTGGGAAGGCCCAACCAAGTGTGGCATGAGGGTCCCTTGAGTCCCCCATGGCCTGCCCCCCACACTCTTACCACCCTCCTCCACTGCCTTTGCCCATCCGCTACCCTGCCATAGCCTCTGCTTTGCTCTGTCTCCAACAGATACTGACAGATGTGCCTCTGGAGCCACCAACATCTGTGGCCCCGGAACCTGTGTGAACCTCCCAGATGGGTACAGGTGCCTCTGCAGCCCCGGCTACCGGCTGCACCCCAGCCAGGCCTACTGCACAGGTATTCGCTCCGGAGCCCGGGGCACACTCAGTGTCGTGGTGGGTGGAGGCAGGGCTGCTGGGGAAAGAGTCCACGCAGCAGAAGGTCCAAGTAGTGCTGGGTGGTGTGTGGGTTGAGGAGGAGTGCAGTCGCTGTGGACAAACCTGACCTTAACCTTGGAGAGAACAATCTCTGGGAGAAGCATATGACAAGTCTTCAGGACTTCAGGAGAGTGGGAGGCCACCCCAGAGCTCCCCAACCCATGCCTGAAGCCCACAGGCCTGAGTTCAGCCTACCCCTCAAACCAGCCAGCTTGCTACCTGCAGAGTGGACCAATGTCTGCCGTCATCGTAAATGTCTCCACCAGGGCCACCCTTAGGGGAGAGGTTTGGGGGCCAAGACAAATCATCATGTGTGGGCCTGATTGCCCCTGCCCACAATATTAAACAAAGGAGACACAGCCACTGTGCCTTCAAGGAGAAAGGAAGTGATCATGGCACCACTGGGGGAGGGGGCCATGGGGCAGGGAGGAGGTGTGGGACAGCGGCCCGGGCCCTTGGTGCCTGAGTGAGCCCGGTGGATGGCTTCATGATGCCCAGCCTTAGAAACAGTTCATCTCTCCAGCCTCCTCTGCTCCCTTGTGCCCTCCTTGCCCCACAGCACCATCCCTGTCCAGCCCTTTGCACAGGCAGGCTGCTGGCAGGTGCCCAGAGAAAGACCTCCCTGACCTCCCTCCCCGCCTCCCTGTGCTCAGATGACAATGAATGTCTGAGGGACCCCTGCCTGGGAAAAGGACGCTGTGTCAACCATGTGGGCTCCTATTCCTGCCTCTGCTACCCTGGCTACACGTCAGCCACCTCGGGGACCACCCAGGGATGCCAAGGTGAGCCCCTGCCCTTGGGATGGGCACAGGACCCCACCAAGAGTGTGGAAGTGGAAGCGGATCCACGCACTCCGTCACAGTTCTGCAGTGTGGGAGGTGCAGGGCCCAGGGATCCAAGCCCCCGGGCTCTGGGCTGGCTTAGGGGAAGCCAACCTATCCCAACACATGAGAGGCACAAATCGGAAAAGCAGCAACACTCACAAAGGCTTCAGGAAACTGTGGCTAATGTCAAGAGCGTGAGGGTCCAGGGACATGGCTGGAGAGGAAGTCTAAAAGCCAGGTCCCCCATTCTGAGTGACAAGGAGATACCTTCATTTAGGGAGAGGAGGGCGACCTGGGAGGTGCTGGCTGGGACTCCAGGCAGACTGGGGAGAAAACACACCCCTGTGAGAGGAGTGCTTTTTCCAGCTGGCACTGGCCTACGCATTTTATTTACGAAGCTCATCGTCCCAACCCCATGCAATAGACATCCTTACACCCACTTTATAATTTAGCACACGGGCTCAGAGAGGTGAACTGAAACACCCAGACACCTCACACCTAGTTGTGGCAGACCTGGGAACAGAATCAAAGCCATTTGGGCCCCAAAGCGTGGTTTACTTCCTCCAACACAATCCCTTATGTGTGCAGGGAAGGACTGGAGGGAGCAGAGGGAACTGCAGGGAAAGGGAGCCATTTCCGCCGACAGCCAAGTAGTGGCCAGGCCTGGGAATAACGATAAATCCAGTGTGACTGGAGTGTGGGGTCTGTGCAGGCAGTGGCCGGGGCTCCGGCCAGTTGTGGAGTGTCTTGAGTGCCAGCCTGAAGTGCTTGGACGCCGTCCCGTGGCCAGCGGCAGCCAGTAGAGATCTGGAAGCAGAGAGTGGCGATTCAGTCTGCTGGCTGTCAGGGAGGTGACTTGGGCGGCCGTGCTCCCAACGAGCTGGAGCTGGCAAGGGCAGAGGTTGAGGGCAAGGGGCTTCTCCAGGCTTCGCAGCCTTGGCCGATGTTGTGGGCAGAGGCACTGCTCTCTGCCGGCCCGGCCCTGGGTGCTGGCCTGTGGCCAGCAGTGGCTGCTGCAGGGAGTGGCGTTGCTGGGACTGGCCCAGGCGAGGCGTTCTGCTGCATACCAGCCTGGGTGTCCGGGTGTCTCTGCCAGACCCAACGATTGGGAAGGAGGGAGGGAGCTCAAGGTCAGCTGTCAGTACTTCTGCCGTGGGGTCTGGCTGCCACTTAATGAGGCCTTATCCAGGATAACATCCACTGTCTAAATTTTACTAGTCTCGTAAAACAATATCTCATTATTTTAGTTCATTAATTTATAGTTTCTAGGATTCAGATAATATAATTGATTAATATGAATTATTTGACTTAAATATTTCAAATGGGTTGCTTTATGAATAAGTGTGAGTATCTCTTTGCAGGTTAGCCTTCGGGTTTCCTTACCTGGAAATTGCTTGTTCCTGTCTTTCGCTCAGTTTTCCAGTGGCGGCTGCTGGTTTTCCTTGTGGCTCTCCTGGAGCTCCTTATGCAGCCCAGACACTTGCCTGGGCTTAGATACTGTGTCTCTCCCATTTTGTCCTCTGTCTATTATCCTCATTTACATGCCCTTTTATAACAAAAGTCTTTAATGTTGATGCGTGGAAATTCACCTATGTGTCTTATGTTTATGCTTTGGGGGCTTTAAGAAGTTCTTCTCCACCCTTAAGTCACAGAGATATTCTTTTTCATGTTCTCTCGTTAAGGTTATAATTTTGCCTTTCATAGCATGTTTGACTCACGTGGAGCCCACCTTTGCAAGTTTGCTAAAAGCCAGGCTTTTTCGACTTCCGTTCTTTTCCACAGAGAGCCTCAGTTTTCCCAGCCTCATTTCTTAGACTGTATCTCAGCCCCACCAGTTTGTGGGTCTTTTATCAAGTTCCCAAACATGGCACTGCCTCTGAGTTCCCTGCTCTCATCCATTGGGATTAGCGTTTCTAAAGTGAGGGCCTGTTATTTCAGAATTGCCCGGAGAGTTATTACAATGCAGGCTCCTGGGCCTGTCCAGTACTGCTGGGTCAGAAGCTGCAGACGAGGGCCCAGGAGCATTCATTTCACACCTTCTTCCCGGACTCCGCTGTGCACTGCAGGGTTGCAGAGCGCTGCTGGAGGAAACTGTCCCCAAGCAAATGACTGTTACTCCATGCACACAGTGTGCACTTTCGGGAGTTCTGTGCTGGACAGCGGGCGTTCCAGGGATAATAAGACACATTCTTGACAGTCAGGGCGGGAAAAAGCAAGTAAATGAGCAGTTCTGTTAGGGGCCAGGTCCTCAGGGAACCCTGGGAAGGGGCTTTTGGGTTAGAGGGGAGAAGGGAGACTCACCTGAGAGATGAGTAGGAGACAGCCAAGCTGGTGGGTGGGAAGCCACTCCAGCCAAGGAGTCAGCTTGTACAGCAGCTCCTGAGGCTGGGGCTGGGGGGGGGGGGGGAGGCAGGAACTAAGATGAGAGACTTAGGTGGGGGGTGGCTCTCGAAAGACCTTACATGCCACTCTGAGGAGCTTGGGTTTTGTGGGGCAGGTTTTGTGCAATAATAATAATAATAATAATAATAGCAGCAGTTGACATTTTCTTAGTGCCTACCTTATGCCAGACAGGCCATGAGCTAAACCCTTCACCTGGATTGTCTCATTTAACCTGCATAAGGGCTCTGGGAAGTGTTTGAACCAGTCAGTGCTGGGGGAGGGGGTGAAACTGAGTTCTCCATGAATTCGACTATGGGGCAGGGAGGTCGGTGGGGCCAGAGCAGCCTAGAGTTGCTCAGTAGACCCAGTCTCTGAAATGGGAGAACTCTGCTGGCCATCAAACTGAGCAGAGGCATTTGTGTGAACAAAAGCTTAGAGGCTGGACCAGTGGAGATCAGCAAATCCAGCAAGACGGAGGCCAGGTGGCAGAGGCCTTGCGAGCCAGGCTGAGAAGTGGGGAACCCTGGTGGGGGTTCAGCAAGGGAATGGCATGACCAGGGTTGTGCTTTTGAGCCATCACAGGGCGCCTGTATGCTTTGGGACAATGTGCTAAACCTCACTGATAGTTCCTTAGCTGCCTAACACACTGTCTCTCACTTGCTGCTTAATCCCTAACCGTTAAGAAGGCCCATAAGAGCTCTAGGACCAGACCCATACAGGGGGGTGTATTGGGTGTATTGGGAGGGGGACTTTGTTGGCTTCTTCAGATCATGCCTTATGGACTGCCACCTGACCTCAAGACCAGCCCTTGCACTGTGATGAGGAGACACCTGTGAGGGTCCTCATGGGCCCCCACATTAGCCTCCCTGGGAGAAAGAGACTGAGGGGTTTGCAGGGGCTGGAGCTAGGTCAGTCCCAGATCTGACATAGAAGCCCCCTGCCAATCACGGACGCAGTTGAGGTTCCTGTCCTTCCTGGGCCTCAGCATGGGTGTCCTTGTCCTTGGCTTCTGAAGGGGCGTCCAGGACCTCTTGCAGGGCTGGCCCCACCTCAGGCCTTTTCCCTGTGTTTGCAGACATAGACGAGTGTGAGCAGCCAGGGGTGTGCCGTGGGGGGCGCTGCACCAACACAGAGGGCTCCTACCACTGCGAGTGTGACCAGGGCTACATCATGGTCAGGAAGGGACACTGCCAAGGTAAGGAACTGGGTGCCACCCCACCATCTCCCCATGCACTGATTGTCCCCAACGCTCCTTCCAAGTTGTCCTTGACTGGGCCCCTTGATGCCAAGCCCACTTCTGTGTACAGAGACCCACCTGGGAATATTGAGTCCTTCCATCCCCTCAGTGGTATTTCGGCATCCTGTCTGTCCACTGAAGCTGAGAACACAGGCAACTTTGTGTGCACGAGGCCCCGAGAACATCACTCTGTACAGCTGTGCCCCTTGCCGTGAATCACGGTGCTCTCCTTAGGCAGAGAAGGAGTTGCTCTGCTCTGTCTGGGAGGCGCCTGGGGCCTCAACTTGGCCTTCTTGCCAAAGCTTTCAGGCTGTGAGCTCATTAGGACTGGACCATATCCTAGATGACCAATAATAATTGTCTATGTGTTGGACACCACCAACAAATTCTAGCTGAATGAATGAGAGAACGCGCCCTGCTCCTTGCTGTGACATTGCCAGCTGGCTTGAGCTGGCCACTGTGGTGCCACCTCCTGGCAGCTCTGCCACTGCCACCTCCCTGCCAGGCTGGGGTATCAAGTGCTTGCAATGCTGGCTGGGGTTGCAGGTCAGAAAACTCTGTCTGTACTCCTCACATGTCACCTCCCCCACCCAATGGCTCCCTCGTGGCACTCTGCCTTTAAGACGCAAGCCTGAATGATCAAAGGCGGAACCTCTTGTTGCCAGTAATGTGGTAGAGCCAACAGCCTGGCATCTCCAGGAGAATGGAGAGGGAAGGGAGTTGGCATTTTGCGGGTGCCTACCTTGTGCCAAGTACTGTGCTAGACACCTGAGAGATCACTGCACTTAAGCATCACAGCATTATGAGTTTGACCTTAGACATTATCAAAGAAAAGCAAAACTACAGGAAATTGAACCAAGCAAACACCGGGACATTAGAAAGATCTGATTTACCCTGACCAGAGCGTGTCAGGGTGCAGGCTGTGGCGGAGACAGGCCTGGGTTCAGCTCGTCTCAGTGTTCTGTCTGAACACAGAACTGTCGTGCCCGTGTAGGGCTCCTGCGAGGGCCGAATATCTATGCAACCGGGCACATGCAGACCCTCCAGGAACACGGGAAGTGTTACTATCTGACAGCCCTGCTCTTTTTCACTCCCGGATCCCCCACACCATGCCCCAGACCACACCTCTGGACCATCCCCTTCCCTTCGGGAGGAAAGGCTCCAGACGCACACCCCGGCTGGGGGTCAGGCCAAGTTCCTGGCCCAGGGCAGACGCCTGGACCTGTTGGGAGAAAGGCTGATGCAGCCTGCATACTTCTCCAAGTTTCCACCAGCAGCCACAGCCCCAGCCCATCACCCCGGGAGCCCAGTCAGTTTCTGCTCCCTCTTTCTTCTTTTTCCAGCTAAGAAACCACTCTTTCCACTTAAACTGAGTCTCTGGTGAAAGGCCTGAGTGGTCTAAATGGTAGCCCACCCAGTCTCAATGGTACGTCTGTCGCACCAGGACTCTGGGCTCCAACGGAAAGGGGTAAGATTCCCCTGCAGACTGCCAGGGCTTTGCGGTTTCCCACCCACCTCCAAGGTCACCTGAGCTTCTGGCTCCTGACTGAGCACCCTCCCCACCCTGCACTCTCATGAGGAACAGAGGCGGGCACCCTGCTGCTTCCTCCTGCAAAGGGGAAGCACTCGTTCTCCCAGTGTAGGGGGCAGGTTGGCAAGCTGGTCCCTGGAGTGACTGTTTCCATGAATCTTTTGGGGTCTCTTCAGCAGCCTCACACCAAGAGGGTGTGAAGTTTTTGTCACATGGTCCCACTGTCTGGTCCATACACACTCACTGAGCACCCGCTGTGCCCCAGCCACGGACCAGGAATACAGCAGCGAGTAGGAGGCTTAGCTCCCACCCTCACAACCAGGGCGAAACCTGCCCAGACACACTGTGATCTGAGATTGAAGTTCAAACCCAAGGCTAGGGGGAAAGGCACCAGAGGGCTGGTGGAATGCGGCAGCATATTGGGTGACAGTGGAGCCAGAGCCTTTAACAGGGACCGGTTTCACAGATTCTTTATCTGGCTCCTTTTGTTTGCTTTGGCTAATGGCTCTCATTCCGAAGAGGCCCTCCCTGGCTCGGGTGGAGAGTAAGGGCCTCCGAGCTCTTCTTCCCTCCCTCCCCTACCTGCTGACAGACCTCTCACGTGTGTGGTAGTCATGGTAATCGCTGGTAGTCATGGTAATCGCTGGCTGGGGCTCTGAGGAAGGAGGCCAGCAGCAGCCTTCCAGGATAGATGAGGTTATGGTGCATTAACAAACAGCCCCAATCTTAGTGACTTAGAACATAGTAAAGTTTTTTTTTTTTAAATTCTTTATAAGAGTTTATTTGAGCCAAACTCATGACATATGCTGGGAGCAAGATTGCAGATGCTCCCAAAACAGAACAAACTTTATATTGGACCAATGCCACATGTCCCTCACGGGTCAGCTGGGTGTCCTGCCTCACGTTCCGCTGGTCTGGAACCAGGCTAAAGGAATGGCCAGCATCTTCTATGTGGCCAGTCTCTGTAGAAGGAAGAAGGAGCACTCTGCGGTGTTGCAGGCAATTCAGTGCTTTGTCCTTAAATCACTCAGGTCTAGTCGCCTGGCCATACCCAACCACAGGAGACCAGGAGGCAGACACAAGCCCACCATGGCCCAGAAAGAGCTGGAAAATTTAGTGAACAGCATTAGGACCTCCAGCCCCTAGTCCCCAGCATAAGGCACTTCGTGCACCACCTCCGCAGGTGTGCCCAGAGAATTTGGGGCGGGGCAGACCTCCGGGTTCTGTGCACTGCCTCCTCTCTGCAGCAAAGGCCCGAAGACTTCGTTTGCTCCCAGTGTGGTCTTAGAGGAGGACCCTTGCATCCTCCTTGTTCTCCTTCATCCCCAGAGTCTTGCCTTCCTGAAGCAGGGGTTGCTAGTCATTTTCAGCAGCTCTGCCTGGTCTCCTTCTGGTACCTCGGCCCAGGCCAGCAGGCTGCGGGGCTGGGCGCAGTCTCCGGGTGGCCAACGTGGTGGGTGGTCTTACATCCTTCGCTCCCTCCATCTCTGTCTCCTTCCCTCCAGGTCTGTCTTTACATCAGCCCTCACAGCAATTTAGCATGGTGTCACCACCCCCAGCAAGGGGCTCTTGGCCACCCTCTTTCAGAGATGAGCCTCATCTTCCTGTCTCCAGGGGTTACCTTGGAGTTCTGAGTGTCTCCTTGCAGATACACACCTGACTAAGCACCTGCCCCGTGAATGTCTCCCTCTTCTTCTGGACCTTCAGGGTGAAATTTTGGTCTGGAGAGGCCTGGTTCCCTGGCTCACAGGGCTCTCGTGTGTCCTGTCTCCTACAGACCCAGCAGCCTCATTTTCTCCCTCCACTGCAGAGCCCATTTTCTCCCTCCACTGCAGAGCCCATTTCCTGTTCTATGATGACATCCTCTGGCTTTAGTCCCTTGGCGGAAAGCCTGTGTTCTGACCCGTGGCCCTGCCTCCATCTTTCCTATATGGAGTTGAGTAGGTCTTCCTCCTGAAGACCTGGGTCTTCCTCCCTCCCAGTAGGGCCTCTGGGTCTGCAAAAGTGGGTGACTTCCTCCAAGACAGTCACAACGACCCATTTAGGAAAAATAAACCCTCCCATTTCCTCTGGCGCTCAGTCAAGCTGTGTGTCATCAGTGGGAGCCTTGACACTGGGCTGGAGGGACATAGTGTCCTCCTACAGCCCCAACCCAGAGCTTTGTCCCTGTGGGATGGCCTTCCCAACTTAGCCAGATGCCCTGGGCCCTTGGATGTGGACTCCCCATGATGCCAGGTTGTATCAGGGAGAGCCCCGTGGGGGGTACCTGGGAGCGAGATCTCCATCCTCCTCCTCGTTGTCACTCTCCCAGGACTGCAGCCCCCCTCCCTGCCGGGCCCCCTCTGCCCCTGCTCGCCCGGGTGGTGCTGGGGCTCATCCTTTCTGGCTGACTTTCCTGAATCTCCCCAAACTGGGTGCTGGGAGCTCTACATGGTCCTTGGCTGGAAAAAATTGTCTTCTTTCCAGCAGAGAGACCCTACCAGTGTCTGCCCTTAGCTCTGCACCAACCTCGAGCCTGGTCGTGTCCACATCCAAGACTGGGGGTCATTGTCAGTCCCCATTTTCTGGTGCAGGAAGTCCATTTTTCCTTCGTCACCCAGCTGGTGATCTATTCTGTGGCCTGCTGTGCCAAGCACATACAATCCCAGTAATTGTCACCACTTGTAAAAAAACCAAAAACAATAAACGAGGGAGACATGGAGGCCGTTCCCACCCGTCCAGCTCACAAAGTAGCACTCCGTCACCCTCTCACAACGAGTGGCCACCGCAGCCTCTCACACTCACCCAGGGAATGACCCTTCCTAAAGTTCTTCCATCTCTCTTTGTCCAGGACAGTGGGTGGGAGGTGGAGTTGGGAACACAGGACAGTGCTCAATTTTTCCTACTTTCCATCCCTGCAGAAGCTGACATTCCTCCCTCTCCCCAACCAAGGGCAGGGTCAAGGATTTGCTTCCTCACAGACCTACCCATGTGCCATGGTTCCCAGGGATGACCAAGGGAGGGGCTGTTGTTTTGCAGATGTTGACGAATGCCGTCACCCTGGCACCTGCCCTGATGGGAAATGCGTCAACTCTCCCGGCTCCTACGCTTGCCTGGCCTGCGAGGAGGGCTACCGGGGCCACAGCGGGAGCTGTGTAGGTGAGGGCTGCTTGCCAAGACCCCGAGAGGACTGTTTGGCCTTGCAACCTCTGGTTGAGCCCACACACAGGGAGAGAAAGAGGTGGGCAGAGGGAAGTGGTTTGGAGGCCATTGTCCTTTGCGATCCAGCTGGGTCCCCAGATGACGCTGGGCATGAGATGGCGGTACATCAGTTACTGATGCTCTGTTCTCTGAATCAGCTAGGGTGGGGACCACTTCGTCTCCTCGGTCATATCCAAGGTCTCAGAAGTTTCTGTGGCTAGATCCTGCTGGGGAGAGTGAAGGGCCAAGCATCTCAGGAGGAGGCTGAGTCCAGTGGTGTGAGCTAGTAGCCTGGCCCTGCTGGGGTTTCCTGGGGGAAGGGGTCTCCTGGCCCACTGCATTGCAACAGCAGTGTCCAAACAGCAATGCATAAGGGAACAGTGGGTGTTCTTCTCCCTCCACAGGGGGCTGCGTGTCAGTTGTAGGAGGAAGCGCTTTCCCCGCAGCCCCCGCAAGAAGAAGGGCCCAGGGTTCAGAATGCCAGGAGGGGCTGAGTCATGAGTAGATGCTTTGAGGCTCTGGAGAGGGCAGACCTTTCCCAGGCCCTTGACACTGCCCTTCGGCCGCCCAGGCCTAGCTTGGCCTTTCTCGGCATTGCCAACTCACCTTTTAATGCTGCTTGGGAAGCCGGGAACATGAGATTGTACCAGTTTGGCTGGCAGGTATAAAGCTAGAGAGGTTCAGGGCCATGGTTAGGCAAGTCAAGGGTTTGGACACTTCACTCTAGGTGTCCTTGGATGGGCCACACCAGCCCCAGGGCTGAGGGACCTGACCCCCTTTTCTCGGCATCATTGGAGAGCGATGAAGTGCACTCAGTGGGGAAGGGCATCCCGGGCCACCCTGGACCAGAGTGTGGGGCCAGATGTAGGACTGACCCCACCCCTTCCCTGGGGTGGCCGGTGGGTCCTCTGAGGGTGGCTCCCCGGCCTCATAACGGAGGTGCTCTAAGCCTGACAGAGGGGGCTGCATGAAGGAGAGGAGGCCGGCTGCCATCCTGGGCTTCTCACCCACAGATGTGAATGAGTGTCTGACCCCTGGGGTCTGCGCCCACGGAAGGTGCAGCAACCTGGAGGGCTCCTTTAGATGCTCTTGTGAGCAGGGCTACGAGGTCACCTCGGATGGGAAGAGCTGCCAAGGTAGGCAGACGCTGAAGCGCCCTCCTCCTCATCAAACCAGTCGGCTGCTCCTCCCCCGTGTGTGCCCTGTCCTGACCCGCCCTGGGCCGCAGCCCCTGCGCCCGCCCACCTGTCAGTCCTGGCCTGTCTGTCCTGCAGAGTCCCACACAGGACTCCATGGCCTGTTTCAGATGTCAACGAGTGTGCCAGCCGGGCCTCCTGCCCCACGGGCCTCTGCCTCAACACCGAGGGCTCCTTCGCCTGCTCGGCCTGCGAGAGTGGGTACTGGGTGAATGAAGACGGCACTGCCTGCGAAGGTAACCTGCGGGGGGGGGGGGGGGCGGGTGGCAGAGACGGACTGGGAATATGATAGAGGCCCTCCTACCTTCCAGAGAATACTCCATTTGTCCCCTAGCTTTGGGCTAATGCTGAGGGTCTCCAGGCTAGGCCAGAGCACCCTGTCCATGGACTTGGCTCCAAGGAGAGCTTCTGTGGTCATGATCCCCAAGTTCAGAGGTGAAGACAGGAAGAAAGGGGAGCCACAGAGACCAGAGGGAAGCTTACAGCGGAGAGAGTCTTTCAAGCTCAGACAGAAAGGTCAGGGGTGTGGCAGGTTCCTGCCTCACCAGGTGAAGGAAGCCCTCCCAAGCCCCTGGGTGACCGCCCCTGTCTGCCCCAGACCTAGACGAGTGCGCCTTTCCGGGAGTCTGCCCCTCAGGAGTCTGCGCCAACACTGCCGGCTCCTTCTCCTGCAGGGCCTGTAACCAGGGCTACCGGCCCACCCCCCAGGGCCACACCTGTGAAGGTAAGAGCCCCTGCAGCCGATGAGGGAGGCTAACCCATCACACTTAGAGAAGGAAGTGGCCAGGACACAGCAGGGTCTGTGCCTAGACCATGGGCCCCTCTGTCCACCTCAGATGGTGGGCTCACTGTGGACACCTACAGGTCTGGGTCTAGGGGCTGATGAGTCACTGGGTCACAAGCTTCAGTGGGCGTCAGCCTTGCTGGGCAAATGCAGCTCCTGGGCCTTGTCCCAGATGTAAATGAACCTCTGTCGGGGGGGGGGCCTGGGGGTGGGGAGCTTGGGGTCTGTTTTCTGACAAGCTCCCCGGAGGTTCCTCTTAAGGGTGGTGCTGGAACAGTATTTTGAAAAGCGTAACAGGGATTCCCTGTAACAGGGAATCTCAGGCCAGTTTGAAGGATCTAGTTTCTGTTACCTCCTCAGGTTGTGTGTATGTTTCCTTGGTTTGTTTCTCATTTGTTTCCCGCTGCTTCTCAGTAAAACCTAAGCCATCTCAGCCACGAGGGCACTGGGGTTTGGCTGTCCCAGGCCAGGGTTGCTGAGATGCCGAGTGTCCCCATGGTGGGCACTGTAGGGGCAGCTGCAGAAGCCCAGCCAGGAGGCAGCGGAGCCTGCTGGGCTGGGGCAGAAGTGGGGGGAGCTTCAGTCGTCTAGCTCCCTGCAGGCTCCCTTACACAAGCTGTGCTGCTCTCCAAGCGGACGATGTCTCTTTGGGGCCAGGCTCCCCAGACAGGGGACAGGCCCTCTGGAGACCTCCCCCACTGGATCCTGTCCTTGGGAGGTGCTGCCATCAGTCTCCTTCCTCTCGTGTGACTCTGCAGATGTGGATGAGTGTGAAGACCTCCAAAGCAACTGCCTGGGAGGCGAGTGCAAGAACACACCCGGCTCCTACCAGTGCCTGTGTCCCCTGGGCTTCCTGCTGGCCAATGGCACTGTGTGTGAGGGTGAGTGGCTCAGGTCCCCACACCGCAGACTGTGTAGGGAGGCAGGGATATTCTCCAGGAGACACCACTGCCTATCTTCTCCCTGCAGATGTGGATGAGTGCATGGGAGAGGAGTACTGCGCGCCCCACGGCGAGTGCCTCAACAGCCATGGGTCCTTCTTCTGTCTCTGCGCACCCGGCTTTGTTAGCGGCGAGGGAGGCGCCAGCTGCCAGGGTGAGAAGACAGTTTGGCCATGTCCACTTGTCAGCAGCAGAGGGCGCTAGAGCCTGTGTCTAGAGTACAGCTCTTGGGATGGGAATGTGGGCGTCAGAAAGCAATGAGAGGGAGCCAAGTGTCGGGAGCGACTCTTTCACCAGGGCCTCTGCGATGTCTACAGCAGGCATGCGCCCTCCGAACTCCTTGGTGTCACCCTTCTCCCCTTGACAGAGCTGCTGTTCCAGGGCTCCCAGCCTGGCCTCTGGCTTCCAGCTCTGAACTCTTCCTCTGATCTTGAGCCCTATCCTACCCTGGCCTTCCCATGGGCTACCTACGGCCCACAAGAAGCTGCCCAGGGCCCTCAGGACCCGTGACTGGGTCTGCTGACAGGCGTCTCTGTTTTAGATGTGGACGAGTGTGCAGTCACGGACTGGTGTCTGGGAGGGCACTGTGTCAACACCGAGGGCTCCTTCAGCTGTCTGTGTGAGACTGGCTTCCAGCCCTCCCCAGACAGCGGGGAGTGTGTGGGTAAGGGTTCCCAGCAGGGGGACAGGGCTCTGCCCCACATCTTCCCACCGCCACCCCTGCCTGGTGCTCAGCCCCCCAGGACCAGGAACTGCAGGTCCGGGAAGCAGGGCCCTTGCCACACATTCATCACGCAGTGGATAATGCATTTACTGAGCCTCTGCTGACTCGAACTGTGCAAGGATGACAAAATGAAGACCATAATAATCCCTGCTAGCAGAGCACACAATCTAGTTTTCAAAGCCAAACTGATTCAAAAGACATTTATTAAACACCTGCTGGGTTCGATGTCTTTTGCTAGGACAAATGGACAGTTACGGGCAATCTTGAAATTGAGTAAGGGAGACAGATATGAAGACAACTCTCTGTAATACACTTCGGTGAAGGTTTTATGCAGACAAATATAAAGTGCTCTGCTTTCTGGAGAAGGGGGTGGGGAAAAGGAGGCTAAGAGCTCAGTGTTTTCCTAAATAGCATAGAGCTCTCTTTTAGACATTTGTCCCTGCTGGGTCAGGAGAAATGACCCTGAACTTGATGTTTTGGGGTTGAGATGCTCACAGTAGTTTCAAATTAGATCAAGGACCCCAGAGGTTGTAGGGGCATGATCTTGTAATGCCAGGGAGGTGGGGCCAGAGTGGTGACCTGGACACTTCTGTCCCCTCTCATGGCTCTGGGGACAGATATTGACGAATGTGAGAACTACGAAGGAGACCCGGTGTGTGGGGCCTGGAGGTGTGAGAACAGCCCCGGCTCCTACCGCTGTGTCCGGGGCTGCCAGCCCGGCCTGCACATGGCCCCGACCGGAGACTGCATTGGTGAGCAGGCAGGGGGCTTCCCCGGGGGAGGGCTGGAGACACCTACCTTTCATGTATCCAGCTGGAAACCATTTTGTCCTGAGGACACTACTTTTGCAGCTTTTTGAAAGTTTGTATTTTTTCAGATAGCAGGGCTTGCCAAAAACTGAAGAGGAATGTTAGTTACCTTGTGCTGTGTTCAGAAGTTACTTTTCCTAGATCTTGGTGTTACGAGACCACATAAATGAGTATTCCCAGGGATTAAAGAGAGTGAGAGCACACCCCACACATTGGTGTCCACTGTCCCGCAGACATAGACGAGTGTGCCAACGACACCGTGTGTGGGAGCCACGGCTTCTGCGACAACACGGAGGGCTCCTTCCGCTGCCTCTGTGACCAGGGCTTCGAGACCTCATCCTCCGGCTGGGACTGTGTTGGTGAGAAGCCTGGGGGTGGCTGGGTTCTGGATGCTCGGTCCCATCTTCGCAGACCCTGACCGTCCTGGATGGGGGCCCTGGGGCCCTCCTCCTGAAGTGGTCACGGTCGCTCGGCTCCACAGTGGGTCTGCACAGAGTGGGCAAGGAGGCGCGATTTCAGCTCTCCCCAACAGCCAAGCTGGTAGGGGAAGCGTGGGCACAATCTACCAGTGGGGGAGCAGGCACATTAATGAAGGCACCACCCTTCTCCAGAGACCTCAGGGTCTCAACAGGCGCCTTCATTCAGAAAACGTGCAGAGGGGGAGCCCTTCCTCTTTGTCCCTTTAGTGACCCTTGTCTGCCGCCCTCACTCTCTCTCTCTTCCCGTGACCTCCGTTCCTCCTTCCGGCGAACTCATGCCCACTTCTGCTCCCCTGCCAAGACCCAGCCTCGTTCTTTTGATGGGATGAGTGTCTGCCCCCCGGGCTGGAGGCAGGGGCAGAGAGCATGGGCTGCCTCTTCCCCACCCACGACGAGCCTGTCCTCATGCCTGGCAGACGTGAACGAGTGTGAGCTCATGGTGGCCGTGTGCGGGGCGGCACTCTGCGAGAATGTGGAGGGCTCCTTCCTGTGCCTCTGTGCCAGCGACCTGGAGGAGTACGACGCTCAGGAGGGGCGCTGCCGCCCGCGGGTGGCTGGAGGTGAGCGCGCTCCACACTCGACCCAACCATTACGTGCAGCCACTCTATGGCCTGCTTTTCCTCCACCCCAGCTCCTGAGGGGGAGCCTGGGCTAGGACTACGGCGGCGTAGGCAGGGGAACAGCCTAGGAGTGGCGCATGGGGAAGCAAGGACTCGGAGAGTGCAGCAGATGTCAAGATAACAGGGGGTTCTGCCCCAGGCCCAGAAATAACCAGGAGGCTGTCGGGTCCCTGTAGGCGGTTCAGGAAGCTCTGAGGCCACTTGGGGTGGCCCTGGGGATCTCAGATTGAGCCTTGGAGGGACCCTCAGTCCAACTCCAGGAAACTCTCTGGAAGCAGAGCTAAGCTGGAGTTTCCTCTTTCCACTCCAACCCAGAGCCGCTGGGTGCAGCCTCTGTCCTCAGGTGGGCTAGGACTCAGCTGGCCTCCTCTGACTTGGGGGGAAGAAAGCAGGACCTAGAACAGGAAGGGGGGGAGGGGAGGGGAGGGTGCAAGTGTGGAGCAGAGGAAGGGGCAGGGGGCACCTGCACTGTGGTGGCAGAGGCAGGGTGGTGTATGCTGGAAAGAGCAGGGGCTTTGGCACCCGAGGAACTGAGGTCAGCTCCCTGCTATGCCGCTCAATAGCTGGTGGTTGTGGCAAGTCGCCCAACTTGCCTGCGTGCACAAGGGAGCTGATGAGAATGTCGCACCACACGGGGTCGTGGAGGGCGCCAGGGGAGGCGATACAGGTAAAGGCATGTGGTGCTCTGTGAAGTGGTATGTAAATGGTAAGTCTGCAAAGGCCAGAGCATCCCTGAGGGCCGTGAACAGACAGTAACAAGGAGCATCTGTCACACACAGGCCAGAGCGTCCCCGAGGCCCCGCCGGGGGACCACCTGTCAGGCCCCCTCCGCATGGAATGCTACGCTGGGCCCAGGGGCCAGCCACCCTGTGCCAGCCTCCTGGGCCGGAACACCACAAAGGCCGAGTGCTGCTGCACCCAGGGTGCCAGCTGGGGAGACGCCTGTGAGCCCTGCCCAGCCCAGGACTCAGGTAAAGCCCCTGATGGTCCTAAATCTTCTCGGGGTCGGCTTTGCAGGGGGACACTGAGAGAAAGGGGCAGAGCCCTCCTCTCTCTGAGCTCGGTTGCCTTCCCACAGTTGAATTCAGCGAGATCTGCCCTAGTGGCAAAGGCTACGTCCCTGTGGAAGGAGCCTGGATGTTTGGGCAGACCATGTACACAGGTAAACCGCCCCACGCATCCTCCCCCGGGCTCCACTCCCCTGAACTGGCCCAGCTCGGTCCTCCGGGTGGTCCCGGGACAGCTCTGCAAGCAGCCAGAGACTCCCTGGGGCTGGGGGCCTCCAGAGTTTGGGCTGGGAGTTCTGGCCAGAGCTCCCCTGGGAATGTTCACAGAACCCACCTTGGTTTTTCTGCTCCCCGGGGCAGAACCCCCAGGAACAAACTACGATGTCTTGACTACCATGTCTCGGGGCACAGGGTGAGAGTGGGGTGCTGCTGTGCAAAGCCAGAGGCAGCCGCCTGTCTCCCTGGCCCCACTGACGGAGCCGGCAGCTTTGGGGACCTGTACTCACAGGGGGTAGTTCAGGTCCGAACACCCTGATCCGAAAGCTGGAGAAGGAAATAACAGAAAATGAAGTAGCTTTCCTAAGTGCTTGCTCTGTACCCAGCACTATTTTAAGCATCTTGCATGTATTAATCCTTTAATCCTCATCATAACTGTAAGAGGTTAAGTAGTCATCGCTACATTTTTTTAGGTAGAAAACTGAGGCAAGGAGAACTTAAGCAAGTGGCCGGAGTCACCCAGCTAGCAGGTGTCAGGGCCAGGATTCCAACCCAGCGAGTCCAGCTCGAGCCTCACGCTGCTTCTGGCCTTCCCACAGATGCTGACGAGTGCGCGATGTTCGGGCCTGGTCTCTGCCAGAACGGCCGCTGCCTCAACACGGTTCCTGGCTACATCTGCCTGTGCAATGCCGGCTTCCACTATAATGCTGCCGGCAGGAAGTGTGAGGGTGAGGACACGCTCCAGCCTCCCCACCCCGGGCCCACAGCCGGGGGCTCACCCAGCCCTGCCAGCCGGCCCTTTCTTGCCAGGAGTTGCCCTTCCGGGGACAGAGGCCGGCTGCAGCGGGCAGGGCCGAGGTGAGGGGAGCCGTGGGGAGCTGTCGGAAAAGCGGCCCCAGAGAGGGGCCTCCCGAGCGTGGCTGGGGCAGGAAGGGGAAAGCAGGTGCCACCTCTTCATTAGCAGTTACAAGCAAACCCTGCCCATGAGGGGGTCTGTGGGCCGGCCACCGTGGCCCTGCCCCGTGTACCCTTCCCCTCTTCCTGCCACCACAGATCACGACGAGTGCCAGGACATGGCCTGTGAGAACGGCGAGTGCGTGAACACGGAAGGCTCCTTCCACTGCTTCTGCAGCCCACCCCTCACCCTGGACCTCAGCCAGCAGCGCTGCATGAACAGCACCGGCGGCATGGGTCGGTGGGCCTGGGATGGCAGGGCGGCGGGGGGCGGACCTGAACTGGGGGCGGCGCTCATGCGTCTCTGTGTCTCTGCCACCAGAGGACCTGCCTGACCACGACATCCACATGGACATCTGCTGGAAAAAAGTCACCAATGACGTGTGCAGCCAACCCCTGCACGGGCACCGCACCACCTACACAGAGTGCTGCTGCCAGGACGGCAAGGCCTGGAGCCAGCAGTGTGCTCTGTGCCCCCCCAGGAGCTCTGGTGCGGGGCCTGTGCCTGTGGGGGGGCGGGGAGGCACCTCCGAGCGGGGCTGGGCCTCCGTGTAGAGAATGCTCTCACCTTGGAAGAGGGGACTTAGGAGTAGGGCGGCCAGAGCCATGGCCCTGTGTTCAGTCCCTGTTGTCTGGGGACAAAGTAGGGCAGGCTGTGGGGCAAGGTGGGGAGAGCAGCACTGCTGGGAACTCCCAGAGGGCCGTGGTCCCAGCCTGCGCCCTCCCCGGGTAGTGAGCCAGGGGACAGCACCAGGCTTATCACCAGGAGTGGGCCCAGCCTCCTCTCTCCCTGCCCCCCCGACAGAGGTCTACGCTCAGCTGTGCAACGTGGCCCGGATCGAAGCGGAGCGGGAGGCCGGGGTCCGCTTCCGGCCAGGCTATGAGTATGGCCCCGGACCCGAGGACCTGCAGTACGGTCTCTATGGCCCAGATGGGGCCCCCTTCTACAACTACCTGGGCCCTGAGGACGCCGTCCCTGAGCTGCCCTTCCCCAACACAGCCAGCCACCCAGGGGACCGTACCCCAGGCCCTGAGTCTCCCCTGCAGCCCTCAGAACTCCAGCCCCACTACGTGGCCAGCCATCCAGGTCTGTGTTGCTGCAGAATTGGGGACAAGGCGGGCACCAAGGTTGCTTCACCTCTATCTCCTCCACCTGCTGGTCCCTGCCAGTAGGGCAAGGACAGGGGAGGGGAAAGACGCACCAAGCCCTCTCCCCGGGTCACTCAAGGGAAGGGACAGTTCCAAATGCCCACATCAGACCCTCACAACTCCCTCCAACAGACCAGCACAGGGGACGTGGAGGTTCAGGACACCATCGTCCTGATCCCCAGAGGGTCCCTGTGGGCACAGGCGGAGATGAGAGACGGTGGCGGAGAAAGCAGGCCCACTGGGCCACCCGGTTCAGCTCCCTCACCGCTTGGGGTGTGCAGAACCACCTGCTCTGGGGCTCCAGCTGCTGACCTGAAATGCTACTCAGGGAGCTGTAACCACTTCACGGCTGCTGTGGGGACCTGGTTTGTAAGGGGCAATGACCCCAGCACTCCAGACTCAGACTCTAACGGGGAAGTAGGGTCTGGCACCTGGGCCACGCACTCGCCACAGGCACACCACCCACTCAGACTGAAGCGGACTGGCTGCCCTGAGACTGGTCGGGGTGGGGGCCCCTTCAGGGCTGGGGCGTGGCTTAGAGGGAGAAGAGGGTTGGGCAGGGTTGTAGTTTGGCTTTGTGTTGAACGAGGGTAAATCCACTTTTGCTGCCAATCACCTCCCAGCAAAAATAAAAAATAAAAAAAGAAGTAAAGTTTTTAACCAAACGCCTTCCCACCAACAACAAAAAAACCCAGAACTGCACAGACACCCACTGCTCAGGGACCTTGGCCTCGGGAAAGCAGTGAATCCCGGCCCCTTTGGAGGCCTCGTTTAAAGGTCTCACTTAAAGGTCTACCTTACCTAAAATGACCTTTTTAGAGTATTGCCTTTTGTTTTAGCATCTTTTTGTGAGTTTGATGACCCTCCCCGGCCCCACCCCAGGAGCTGAACGGGGCGAACCCTTGGCAGTGCAGGGTGAGGGTCCGGGCCTTGGGGACGGCCCCAGCTTCCTCTTCTCCCTGTCTTCCTCCCACCAGAATATCAGGCCGGCTTCGAGGGGCTTCAAGCGGAGGAGTGCGGGGTCCTGAACGGCTGTGAGAACGGCCGCTGTGTGCGCGTGCGGGAGGGCTACACCTGTGACTGCTTCGAGGGCTTCCAGCTGGACATGGCCCACATGGCCTGCATGGGTGAGTTTCGGGTCAGAGTGGCAACGCCCGGAGCACTCTGGCCCTGATTGATGGCTCCGTGCAGAAAAGCCAGACTGGCCCATGGCTCACTTTAGAGACATACAGCCAAATTTAGGGTCGCTGGGAAACCCACGGCGGCCCCATAGTGAGGCTGCCCAGCGCCACATCGGGCCGGGGGGCGGCGGCGGTGAGAAAGCCCCAAAGGAAGGTCAGGTGCTGTGCTAACCCTTTCCATGGAGGTGCCTAGACAGAAAAAAGGCAGGGACAAGAGTACGGTCACTGTCCTGGGCACCCTATGTATGGGCTCGATACCACCTGCTTTGTGTCCTTGAGTTGCTCACTTCAGGGCAGTAACTTCAGCCTCTGGCTGCCATACCTACAATCCCACTGCAGGGCTGGGACCAGTGACCAGAGGGCCAGAAGCACCAGGCCACAGGCCCTTGGGCTCCCACCCCATCTCTCCTTTCCTTCCTTGTAGATGTGAATGAGTGCGATGACTTGAACGGGCCTGCTGCACTCTGTGCCCACGGTCACTGTGAGAACACGGAGGGCTCCTACCGCTGCCACTGCCCCCCAGGTTATGTGGCTGAGGCAGGGCCGCCCCGCTGCACTGCCAAGGAGTAGCAGTGAGGGGTCAGTGTGAGCAGCTACCTGGAAATGGGCTCCGGTGGGGGCCTAGAGGACGCTTCTCTGGCTGGGAAAACACCACGAAGACATCCGGCAGGAGGCCCTGTGGCCCTCTCCCAGCCAGCCTTGCCTGCTTATCATCTGTCCCAGCTTAGGCTCTGGCTGTGAGCTTGTCACTGCCTCCATGCTGACATGCCCTTGCTTGGCTCAAACACCACCAAATGCTTTAATGCTTCAGCCACTGACCATGAGGCCCGGTCTGCCACCTGCCCTGGCCTCGCTGTGGGACGCTTACCAAAGGATGGCCCTCGTTCCCCCCTCCAGCTGTGCAAACATGCAAGGTCCTTTGGCCTCGCACTGCAGGCACCCTTTTCCAGCCATACTCACATGTCATCCCGATGATTCCAAAACTGGGGCCCAGCCCACATCTGTCCTGGGACGGTCCTTCAGACGCTATGGAGCAGAAAAGGATGGGAGGAAGTCTGGGGAGTGACTCCAATGCCTCCTCCTAAAGCCATCACAGCCGATCTGGTCTGGACTGGATTTCGCCACATCATCCTGCAGCCACTTCCGTGGCCCCAGGGAGGGGTGGAGGTCCCCTCATCTCGGAGGAGGAGCAAGACTAAAACTGGATTGTTGAGTGTGAGAGACACGTGAAGGGCAGCAAGGAGCCTGGGAAGAGGGCAACATTAACAATAGGGGAAATCGATTTTTAAAAGGAGAGCCAGGGCTTTACGCAAGTCTAAAGAAAATACTCAGAACCTTCCAGTAAATAAGCACCCCAAATATCCCCAGGACTGTACCTCCTGTGCACAGGGCTGCCACAGACACAGCACCCATCTCCCAAGACCTGAATTAAGTACATACTGCTTCTTACAGGAAATAAATTTCTCCTGGGCTCTCCTTTTGTGGACACCAGTTTGATGTGCTAAAAATAAAGAGGTCTATTTTCTAGCTTGTGAAAGCCAGCGGAGTCTTGTTTGGGGGGAAGCCGGATTACCTTCGCTGTTGGTGCTCTCTCCTCAGAAGCCTCTGCCCTCTGCCCCTTCATAAAGTGGCTGGCTGGCATTCCTCTGAGTTTACAAGTAGAGACCATCTCCAACAGTGGTGAGCTGGGAATTCAGACCCACAGTAGAATGAAGAAATGTAGATCTGGGCTCTTTTGTTTTTGTTCCACATTAAACCCAATTTCTTCACCAAGTCAGTAGAGTCTGAGTACTCCGGTGGCGGCCGTGCCCACTCCTGGCCAGCTCTGCCAACAGCCCACGACTGGGTTCCCCCAGGAAAAAGCTCTTTACTCTGCTAAGTCAAGGAAAGCTCCGACTTTGTACTCCTCTGGCGAACAGCAATGCAAATGAATGAGGAAACGAATGCTCTTTTCTTCACTGAATCTGCCCTGTCCTTCCTGCTGCTCTGAGTGCCAGCTGTCACAGGGGAACTCACTGAACGCTTGCCCTGTGCCGGGCCGTGCTGAGTGCTACACGAATTTCACTACTCATCCAGCAATCCTATTTACTATTTTTATCCCCAACTTAGAGATGAGGAAATGGAGACACGCGAAGCTTCAATAATTTGTTCTAGGTCACTGCACTAGTTGAGATGTTTTAAGCAGACAAAAATATACAGTTCTTAAACATAGAAAAACATTCTGACCTTCAAAATAAAAGAAATGCACGTTGAACCACACTGAGACACTTTAATTTTCAGCTGGCAAGCATCTGTAGAAAGAGGCACTCACAAATATAGTCGACAGAAGTCTTCTGAAGAGGATATAAAAACGTCTTTCAAAATCACTCATTCCTTGAATCAGTAACTATACCTCTAGGAATTTAATCTTCAGCTATATTCCCCCCAAATGTGAAATGACATATGTAAGAGGTTATTTATTATAGCATTATTTGTAATAGCAAAACATTGCAATTAATTGCTATGGAACCCTAAACAGAAAAGTATGAATGAAAACTGGCTCTCGATGCCTTGCTGACGTGGGTGGAAGGGGAAGGAGGGCAGTGTGACACAGTGTGACACGCGCCGCCACTCGACCAAAGAAGGGGGGGACCGGACACCCACTGACTCTGCCTCACACCCCCTCATTTCAGAGAACGTCTTCCCATTCCTCAATATGCCATTAGCATCACACGTTCTTTCCATTTAATTGGTTTCAGAGAGAAAGAGGGAGAGAGAAACATCACTTTGTTGTTCCACTTATTAATGCACTCATCGGTTACTTCCTGTACGTGCCCTGACCTGGGATCCAACCTGCAAACGGATGACGCTCTAACCCAGTGAACCACCCGGCCAGCGCCGGCACTTCACTTTATCCAATGCTGCTCCGTTGGCCCCCCTCCTAACCCTCACCTTGTCCGCCCTTCCAGAGATATTTCATGCACACACACGTCCATGTACTACAAACACAAACAGCATACTATGCATGCTGTTCTACTCTTTGCCTTTTTTTTGCTTCATGCTTGCACATAAGAGCTTATTCTATTTTATAAATGTATACTCTTCCATTGGATGGGTAAATCATAATTTATTTAATCAGTTCCCTGCTGGTGGACATTTCCATTGTTTCCTACCTTTTGCTATTAAAAATAATGCTATAATGAGTATTCTCATGCAAATGTTATTTCATGTTACATCTATGGGATTATGCCTGTGGGTGAAATTCTTAGAAACAACGTGATTTGTGGGGAGGATGACACGATGGATTGGTACAGAATTGGGACACTTTTTCACTGTATCCCCGTCTGTGCCTCTTGGAATTTTGTATATGTATTATCTGTTAAAAAATAAAATATTTTTAAATACACCTGCTGGGTATACACTACTTAAATGTTCCTTTTTTCTCTATATATAGGCACCTGACTATATTTTCAATTAAAACCAGATGATTATTCTTTTGAAACTTCTCAAAGCAAACTTCCCTTAAGCAGTCCTATGGGAAAATGGCAGACAGGGATGTTTAAAAAGCAATCACAGGCCTGCCAGGTGGCTCAGCAGCTGAGCATACCGTCCCGCACACCACAAGGCTGTGGGCTCAATTCCAAGTCAGGGCGCAAGCTTAGGCTGCGGGCTTGATTCTGGGTTGGGGAGCATACAGAAAGCAACTGATGTTTGTTTCTCTCTCTAAAATCAATAAAACATAACTTCTTGGTGAGGGTATTTTTAAAAAGCAATCATAAATATCAAGCCTAGATCCCTAGAAAAGTCGTTTCCTGCCTTTGGAACAAACACACAGAACCATAATGTTGCAGTGGACAGTGCAAGCTTCACATCAGCTCAGGGCCCGAGGTTAAGGGACAGCTGCCCCCTCCTCTCCACAGGATGTTCCTGCCAAACGGCCACCCTCTGCTTGGGTGCTTTCTGACAAATGGTAAAAAAAAAAAAAACAGGGCTCAATTCTCAGAACAAAGAGAAAAAAAGAGTATCTTCTCAGACACCTACTTTAGTAGTTCTTCCTAATCTTAACTCTGAGCCCGTTTTCCCCTAATCATGAAAGAAGGGAAGGTGGGTTAGACACCTAAAATTTACATACCACACAGAGGAACCAAGGGTGGGTGGGACCCCTGAAGTTCACATACCACTAGTCACTATCAATCACATAACTAAAGCGTTATTCCACAAGGTAAGATCTGAATGTTGACCTAGGGGCTCCCTCTAAAGCTATTCACAACATAAAGTAGATCCAGGGCTCCCCCACCTTTGGTTCCTGCACGTTTTGCTAAAGCAAAAGGCGGTGGGTGGCACATGCTGCCCCAGGTAATTTTTTGCATATAGTTAAATAAAATCAATTCTGCAATAGGGCCTTGATAACCTCCCCTTAAAAGGAGGCAACACACACACACACTCACACCCTCTAAATGATGCTGGAAGACTAATTTTTCTCAGTGAATTTGCTCAATGAGCAACATTTGTGAAGGTGTCTGCTTTTATGGCCTGCCAGGAAGCAGGCATCTGGTCAGAAAGTGCCTGCGAAAGATCCTAAACCTGTTGTATGTCAATTACTGTTTATTCCAAGTAAATTGCTTACTGTCACCTTGATGGTATCATTTGTTCCTAAAATTTCTGTATCACCCACCTACAGAGACTTTTCTAAAAAGCTGATCTGAGAAAGAAGAAGGGAAAGAGAAACATTGAATTGTTGTTCCACTTATTTATGCATTCATTGGTTGATTTTTATACATGCCCTGACTGGGGATCGAACCTGCGCCCTGGCATATTGGGAGGATGCTCTAACCAATTGAGCTGCCCGGCCAGGGCAGTGGAAGAGTTCTTGTTACTTCAGGTTCCCTCACACAGCTTTGTGTGAAATAGGTGATTTCTTGTAAACCTACCCTTTCTGAACACAAAATTCCATTTTCCCATTAATAATAATTACCTGTAGGCATTCCAAGGGAGCCTGTTCCCGCCTAATTTATCACCACAATCCAATGTTTAGCTACTAATGCTGTTATGCTTATGCTCACTGAGTTTTTAAATCCCCATATCAATAAATAACCCACAAAAATATTCTGGTACTTAAATGTACCAAAATGTCTTTTTGAGGATGAAAGGACATAGAGTGAGCTGAAAATCTTTTCAGGCCCAGTTACTGGCAACAATTTTCAATGTCTCAATGATGTTACACACAGAAGCTTTCACGGCATACTGGTTTCTGCCTCCATCCATGAAAATCTGCTAAGAAATCTGCTCAGGTTTCTGAGTGTCCCCTCCTTTCCTCTTGGTGCACATCACACACACAAGACAGGTTTATCTTCTCTCAGTCCTAGATCTTCCCATGTTAAAAATGTGAGTGTCTGTGTGTCTCTCTTAGATTCTTTGTCTCTAAAGTCTATATTTCCATTTTTAATGGAAATAGATTTTATTTTTATCTAACAACTTAATTCTAATCTAGTCTAGCAGGGTTTCCATCCAGTCCAGAAATGCAAGTTTTTGCTGTAACAAACTTTTCAGGCTTGCAAGGAAAAGATGGATTTAATCGACAATTATTCCAGAATCAATTTGATGTGGTTTCCCCATCATTAGCATTTGTACATCATTCATCAGGGTGGTGGTATGTTTGTCTTTCAGTTGTTTGTCCACAAAGTTCTGACTCACACACAACTCTTTCTAACAGCCACACACACACAACTCTTTCTAGCTCTATAACCTATTTAAATGCCAAACCCAAGCAAGTACTTTTAAAATTCACTGGAATTTGTGCCTTGAAATGCTTTTCCTTCAGTGACCCTAAAGTTGCCAGGTTTAAACAAATAAAAATACAGGGTGCCCACTTAAATTTTAATTTCAGATAAATAATAAATAATTTCTATAAGTATGTCTCATGCAATGTTTGGGACATATTTATACTAAAAATAACCTGTTGTTCATCTGAATGAAATTCAACTGGCCATCCTGCATTTTATCTGGTTATCCAACATAAAAGAAAATCCCTAAACATCTACTATCTAGTCCAACTAAGAGATAAGTTCTTTCTATGTGCAAGACCAGAGATGTTCTGCACCATAAGTAAAGCAACATACCCTTAAAAGATTCGGTCACAAAGTGATCACAGAATCTTGAAATGTCTGTGGGAGTATGGAAGCTATTTTTCAAGTGACTCAGGTATCAGCTGGGGTTAAGCCTGTTTGGGGGGTTTTTTGGTTTTAGTAGATTCCTGAGTATAAGAAGAAAATGCATCTGCCCTACCAAATGGGAAGTGGAACACAAGCTGCAGAGATAATAAGGATAAGTCAACCAGAACATTCAGGAGGGGGAAATGAAAATGAGAACATTTTGTTTGCCTTTCTCATCCCCTCTGGCCTAGTAATGAATGTTCAAGATACCCAATCTGTGCCTCTGACCCAAAATACAAGTTAATAAGGACTTTCTTTAAAATGAAGCTGTTATACATAGCTGTACAAGCAGCTCTGAAGGCCAGAGAAGTAACTCAAATTTTGGAACTGTGGAGGCTTTACAGATTATACTGGGTTTCAACTAGTTGTTAAATCTTAGGTAATAGCCACTGGAGCCATAACCTTAAAACTGTGCAGGAGAAATGAAGTCAAGAGTAAAAGTTTCACATTCTGAAAATACTAGAAACACTTCTGGATGGTTGGAAATGAAATTAAGAGATAAGAGAGGAACATGATTGGAAGGAAACCACTAAAGTTCTACTAATCCCAGGCTCCTCAAATCGGTACCAGTGGTGGGAATCTCAGGGTCATCTGTCAAAGTTTGACAGAGAAGGACGACCCACAGGAGCAGCCTTTCTGCGCTTGAGGGTTGTTCAACACTTGAAATGAGCTCCGGATCAGTTCTTGGCTGAAGTCCACCTGGGCCCCTTTCACGAAGGCCAAGCTATCAGAGTCAACCACCACTCTTGCCCCACCCTGTTCAAATACCCTGGGAAAAAAAAAAAAAAAGAAAACATTAATGAATATCATAAACACCAAAAACAGGACATCCTCTGAGCCCTGATGTGAGAGGTGTACATCCTCAGTTTTCTGAAATAGAGGAAGCATTCCTATTACCTCCCAAATGTGCTGATTTTGAGGCAAGAAGATTCAATGGAATGAATACTGCAAAATGTTTAGATTTTTAGGCCTGGAATCTAGTCCAGCCTAACTCTATCAACTATCCTATGGACCGACCCTGAACCTGACCCTAACCCTAACCCTAATCATAACCCAGGCAGGCCAATCTTCCTCCTAGAACTCAGTTATTTTGAATCAAGACAACAAAGCTAGACTGTATCCCCAGTGTAAGAAGGGGGGTAAGCATCTTTCGCAAACCTTTTAAATTTGGAATAAAAGTGCGCCTTAAACTGCAGACACTTTTATCCCTCCCGCACATTCTCTGAGGATCCACCCCTTCCTCCTTGCCTGTCGTCGGGGTTGATAACTGTATCCAGTGAAAATTTGTATTGGAATCCGGAGCATCCACCTCCCTCCACCTCCAGCCTGAGGAATTCTGACCCTTGGGTGATTTCCAGAAGCCTCTGAAATGCAGGAAGAGGGGATCAGGAATGTCAGGCAAAGGAAGGAAGAAAGGTGGGCCAAGAGGAGGTCCCTGCACTTCCGGCCCTCGTCCGGGCACTGCCACCCCTCTTACCTGGACACAGCTCTCGGTGAGGTGAATCTGCCCTTCGCCAGCCTTGGGGCTGGAGGACGACACTTCCCGATGCGCCTGAGGTCCAGCGGAGGCGGCGAGGAGCCTGCGGAGCGCAAAGGAAGAGGATGAGCCCGCGAGCAGAGGGGCACCTGGAGACCTTCTCCACCTGGGCAGCCTCACGCCAAACCTGGCGACTCCTGCCTGCACTGTCTCACCAAACCCGACGACCTCCCCCTGGACAGCCACACGCTACATCCACACCTCCCCCGCGATCCTTAGTTTCCGACTAGTCCTGGAAGGAGCAAAACCTAACACACTCCCCAAGTGCCCTTTTAGGCTTGGTACCTGCTGCTCCACCAGGGGGTGACCGCTCTCAGCGACACCACTTTCAGTGTTGAGGCCCAGGAGGCCGCCATCTTCCTCCACAAACCCCACCCCTCGCGTCTCCCCAATCCCCTTCTCCACTTGGGCTTCGGGAGGTGGAACCCGCAGAGACCCCGCCTTCGAGCACGCTTATTGGGTGACACAAGAGGCGGAGGAATTTTTATTGGCTAAAAAGGCTCCCATTGCGAAGCGAAGACTCTCTAACAAAACCGAGAACCAAAGAGAGAGGCGGGCTGAAATGTACCCAATCCCGCGGGGCTGCGAAGTGGGCAGGATGGGGCGGAGACCGACCGAAGCCTGGCTGGCCGCAGCGGGGGGCGGGGCGTGGGCGTGTCTTGGCCTTGTCGGCTGACGCCCCAAGGCTTCTGACTGAGCTCCTCCTCGACCCCGCCCCGGTAGGTTTATCTTGTGACTACGGCAGCCGCTTCTTCCTTCCTCGCGCTTGGAAGTTCCTTAGCAGCGATGCGTTTCTTGACCGCGGTGTTCCTGCTCCTGGCGCTGAGCGCCTCCGCCCTCGCAGAGCCGGTGCATTACTTGGACTGCGGTGAGCCCCAGACCAATCTGAGGTTTCCGCGCTCTCGGCGGGAGCCTCTTTCAGAACCCCGCGCTGAGACCCCGTTCTAGGTTGGGCGGGTCCCCTTAGACGGCTAGGCTCAATCTTGGGACCCCTCATGGAGTGGGTTCGGGTAGGGGAGAAGGTGCCAGCCTCGAGAAAACTCGACCGCTCACAACTGTTTCTGTCCTTGGAACGCGTGTTTGGGGTCCCTGGACATTCTTGGAGATGTATGGGCTTTTTGCTGAAGTTTGCCAAAGTTTGTAGGACAGACAACTGAAGGTCCTTAGGCAGCGCGGCGGGTGAGGGGTGAGGCGCAGAACTTTTACTTTGCCTTGTATCTTGAATGACCTCTCCCTGCCTACTCTGTTTGCTTTTCTTTTTAATTTATCTTTTGCTGGCAAGCCAGTTTTGCTTTTCATCATTCATCCTGTTAGCGTTTCCTTTGGGTTATGGAATTTTGTGATTTTTTTTCATGTATAAAACTCGTGCTTATGGTCGCAGCTTGTGACACAACCCTTTTTGCCGCTGTAGTTAGAATCTATTGGGAAATACAAAGAGTGGAATGAAGAAATTGTGAGTTCGTTCAGTCAAGACTACAGAACTTTTTCAGCCGAACTTTTATGAAGTGAAGAGGTGTAATAATAAATGAAAGAGGCATGAAACTAATTTTATAAACTTTGTGAGCTGGAGGGAAACTTGGAGATCAGTCATTGAATTCCATAGATGATAGGTAACTTACCCAAAGTCACACAGCAGAACAGGAACCAGCATAAGTTTGTTCCTTTATATCTAGTTCCCAAGTAATAGTGACTGCTCAAAAATATTTGCTGAAAAAGTAAATGAGGGGATGAACCCTCTCGCCGCTATGTCCTCAAAATTTATGTTGAAACGAAAGCAAAGTTGGGGGCTAGGGGACAGATTGATTGAAGAGTAAAGACTACTGGCCTATTAATACTTATCAAATGGTGTTCCACTGAACAAGAAGACTGGCTCTTGAAAGACGCTATTGTCGCCTCAGGTTACTGCTTTTGCCCCCATTAAATTTAGTGGCCAGCATTTGGATGAAGACACTGTGTTAATTCGTTCAGCCCTCGCAATCTGTTTTACAGAGGAGGAAATAAGCACACAGAGTACGTTGCCCATGTTCTCACATCTAATAAAACTAGTGTGTGTTTTGAGGTGCTTTGGGTTTCAGTGATAACATTAAAAAAAAAAACCTGAGGAAACTAAATCCAGATGTCTTTCTACTCATTTGAAAAGAGCAGGTGTACATCCATGGCAAGAACTTACTGGAAGGGGGTGTCTGTTACAGATTTTCAATTTACTTTTGAATTGGAAATACAATGTAAAAACTTCAGAGCCCACATCAAAAGATTTTTGAGTTCCTCCTTTTCCCTGGAGTGGCATTTCCTCAAGTGAGAAATAGGGCCAAGCAAAGTGGTTTTGCAATTTTTTGCAGGCTAGAACTGAGGAGTTTATTCTGTTGACATTGCAAGTCCAAGAACCTCTTGTCAGGTGAAAAACCGGATGAAAGAGCTACAAGTACTACCCTCTACTCAGTTCCTTCTGGATCATGTGATCCAGCTTTGAAAGAAGCAGGTAGAAGATAGATGTAGAAAACTTTAGCATAGGCACTGATTTTCAGTAGGTTACTGCTTAGAAAGTTCTGGATGGTCATGCCCCCCCACCTCCCGTCCATGGAAGATAGTACGGAGTGGAACAGAGTGCTTAAAGAAGAGAATTCTCGAGTGTATAGTTTGAGAACTTTGCCATGATGAAGAAGCAAGCTGGGGATAAGACACTGCAAGGTATTTATTTACAGACCCAACTGGAGCAGTGTTGGTCAGCAAGGTGAACCTGTTCCACCCAAGAGCAGGCGCAGGCTGAGAAGGCAGAGGACATCACCTGAGTTTCTCAGTTCACATTCTATGGGACCTATAGGATGAAGCTGACCCGGTGACTACAAAGCAGATCATGTGCTCTCAAACTTAGCTTTGCTCTCTGTCTTCATGCATTCTACTTTTGAGACAAAGTCCCTTCTGTCACGCTGAGCTCATGATGTCTGTCAGTTGGATCCATGGTGTCTCCGCACAAAGTATATTTGAGAGGAGAGGCCCACCTCGTGTGTTGAAAGGAAACCTGCTTACCACCCAGGAGCAGCTATCCTAGATTCAATTCATGTCATCCTGATATGATGACAATAAGAGCAAACATTGTACAGTAGTCCTCCTTTATCCATGGGGAATATGTTTGAAGATCCCCAGTGGGTTCCTGAAACCGCTGATAGTAAGTACCGAACCCTGTATATACTGTTTGTTCTTGTACATACGTACCTTTTCACATAAAGGGAGCACTTTATGGCTTCTCTTTGACGTATCTGAATTGCCAGTATCACTACCCTTGTTCTTTGGGGCCCTTATTAAATAAAGTAAGAGTTACTTGAACACAGGCACTGTACTACCCACACCATCAGCTACTAAGTGCCCTGCTGGACAAAGAATGAGTCATGTCCCTGGCGGGATGGAGTGGGATGGTGTGAGATTTTAATCACACTGCTCAAAATTTAAAGCTTACGAATTGCAAAAAAAAGGAACTCAGAAACTGTTTATTTCTAGAAGTTTCTATTTAATAGTGTTGGACCACAGTTGACTGTAGATAACTGAAACCATGGGAAGAGAAACAGTGGGGAAGGAGGACTGCTGTATAGCATTACTATGTTCCAAACACTTATCTCAGAGCTGTATGTGTATTAGCTCACTACCGTATGAGGTAGGTACTATTATTATCCTCAGGGAGGTTAAGTACCTTGCCTGGAGGTTTACACAGTCAGTAGCGGAGCCAGTGAGATGTCAGACGCCAGCATCAGGTCCCAGAGTCCACCTCTCCGCAATGATGGCTAAGCTCTGAGTTGCAGAGCTTAAGCTGATCCTGTCACCGGCATCGTTAACCACCGGTTGACTTGCGTTCTCTCCCTTCAGCTGTCCAGTGTCAGGGACCTGGACAAGATGATGGGATTTTGAAAGATTTGTATTTAGCCTATTTTGGTCAAGCATTTACTGTGAACAAACAGCACTTCTGTTGTTTTTTAGACTGAAATTTAAAAAAAAATGCAAACACACACCCTGTCTCAAAGATACTTGTTTTGAAGAACACAGGTTTCCAAAGTAGAGAGTACACATCTGAGTATAGCAGATGAGTGCCTAAAGTTGTTCTCCTTGGTGGGGGCATACAAAGCTTGGGGACCACTAATGTGGAGAGATACCAGGACATGACTCAAAGACGGTGAGGAGGACTGTGATGAGCCATCGCTTGGATGATGTTTGCTGCTTTAAAGTCTGTGGAGATGGAAGGAGGGGTGGGATGATTTTTATTTCAACTCATTTTTCTTTTGCAGGTTCCGGAGTTGGAGTTATAAAGGAAGTGAATGTGATCCCATGCCCCGTTCAGCCCTGCCATCTGCAGAAAGGACAGTCTTACACTGTCAATGTCACCTTCACCAGTAGTGAGTAAAAGTGGCTCTTACCTTCAAATTCACCTTAAAGTATAACATCAGCCTCAAGTGTAATGAGCATGGAAGTGTGGGGGAGGGCAGTGGCAGTCAAGAATTCTGTGACCTCCCTTGCAACCTGGATAAGTCAGGATTAGCTATACCCTTAGACACCTTTCTCATATGGGGCTCCCATATGCCTGTTTTCTTGAGTCCAGACTCCCTTTAAGCAGAGAGAGAGAGATTTGCATGTGTTCACAGGTGAGAGAAGACAGTTGGCTTCTCCATGTCCTATTTTGGACCATATTGCACAGTAGGCTTTTATGGGAATGTCAGCTCTGTTTAGCTACAGACTGCAGAGTATTATTAGTACAGAGCCCAATTCTGTAGACTTTGGAACTCCTCCAAAATGCTATTTTAAGCAGTATACCTTCTAGCTATTAAGTCTGTGTTCTGCCTCAAGATACAAGAGCAGTTCATACTTCGCCTCTATAAGGTTTAGGCAACTCACGGGGGACCCAAGAAGCAATCAAGAAATCTGAGAGCTTTCTACAGTTTGAAGAAATATTATTGGAACTTGTTGCTTTCTGGTGCCACGTTCATCACCTTCAGATTCCCAAGAATCTAGACCAATGCAAAATCCTGGTTTCTAGAAAGGGCATCTACCTTGAATCCTTCTCTTATTTTCTATTCTGTGGATCGAGACTGGATAGTCTGATAAGAAATCTCAGAGTTCCCACATCTATCTCCTCCTTAAGCCTAAAGACAGCTCTGAGTACCAGAGCTGTTTTTTCTCCTGGGTGATACCCTGGCTTCTCTATTGTTCCAAACAACAAAAAAGTACCTTCTAACAAAAGTAATTGCCAACCCAGACGGAAAGAAGCTGCCCATGGCTTCTTGGCCTTCTGGCTAAGATCAAGTGTAATATCAGTTTAATATCTAACATGCCCTCTACCCAAGGACAATATGTTAAATGGATTTTTGGAGCAGGGAGTTGGGCTAGGAGCTCGCTCCGTCCACTCCACTCATTGACCCGGTATAACAGTACCTCTGGGCATGATGTACAAGAGAAGAAGCAGCGCCAGTACTCTGGGTCTCTGGAATAACCTAACAGCTCAGAACTCTGGTTGCCCTCATTCTTTTTTAAGGTTTTATTTATTTATTTTTAGAGAGGGGGGAAGGAAGGGAGAACGAGAGGGAGAGGAACATCAATGTGCAAGAGAAACATACACTGGTTGCCTCACACACCCCCAACCAGGGACTTGACCCACAACCCAGGCATGTGCCTGGGCTGGGCACTGAACCAGCGACCCCTCAGTTCACAGGCTGGCACACAAACCACTGAGCCATACCAGTCAGGACATGGTTGTCCTAATTTTATTATATTTCTTCCTCCTGCCCATCTTGTTATATGAAGCGTAGAGCTTGGCAGAAAATGTGCCTCTTTCTAACCTTTCCCAGTTTCCAAACAGTTACCTCTTTCTTCCCTGTAACAGGCCATGGTGTGTCTGTGTCGGCTCCTTACTCCTTCTGTCCATGTTGCCTTGTATTTTACTCTTAATTCCTACTGGAATCCTCTGTGCAGGATTATTTGAGAATTCAGAGACCAGTCTCCTAAAACTCTTTAAGATACACAGTACACTTCTACTGAAGCTGATATAAATATTAAATAGAAAGTTTACTGCCAAAAATCAGTTACTTAGTTGAATGAGGTTATTTATGCAAGTAGCTCCGATTGTCCCGAGAAACTATGAAAGGCGGTGAAATGGGGGTTAAGAGCAAAGAAAACAACCTGCACTGATCCTTTTTTTTTTTTTGCATAATTCAGTAATGTCTTTAACTTTTGCGGTGAGTGCTTGCTCCGCAGTGTTCACTGAGGCAGAGTAGGACTGCGAAGAGAAACAGACCCTGGGAAATAAGTAGGGACTCGGACTGGCTATCAAAGCAGTGCTGTTGCTTGAGAATACGTCTAACCTTTTTATTTAGAGTTTGGAAATAGGCTGTTTCCTCCACTGTCTGGTTGTCTTTCTTTTTTTTTTCCTCTCTCTCAGATACTCAGTCCCAAGGGAGCAAAGCCGTGGTGCACGGCATCGTGATGGGTGTCCCGATCGCCTTTGCCATTCCTGAGGCTGACGGCTGTAAGAGTGGTGTCAACTGCCCCATAGAAAAGAACAAGACCTACAGCTACATGGCTAAACTACCAGTGAAGAGCGAATACCCCTCTGTAAGTGACATTGTTGCTGAGGTCACTGGAAACCTTGGGACTAGATTAGGTATCTGATGAAGGGAGGGCAGGGAGAGGAGACTGGAGTGGGAGTCCTTCATTTCCTTGAAGGCAAGGAGCCTGAGGGATGGGAGGTAAATAAGGCATCGTGAGGGGTGGCAGCTGTTCTTCACTGTCCCTTTGTCCTTTGTCTGTAGCCTTGTGGTCCACCAGTTTTATATACAGGATTTCACCGATTCTCATGACCACCCTTTGTAGAGGCAATACTGCTTTTTTACAGATGATGAAATTCTGCAATATGAACAGTCCACTCTGCTAAGAAATATTATAGCCTAGACTGAGAGCCGGGTTTTGTGACTCCAAAACCTGTGCAGTGTTAAAAGATTTTAGCCAGATATCAGACAGTTCAAGGTTTCAAGTTGTCATAAGAAAATCCTGCTTTCTCCGGTAATCTGTTAACAAGAGAGCAGCAGCTTGTTAGCTCCGTAACGAAGGGGTAGCTTTTTCCACTCTTCTTTCTCCCTCTACCCTCCTGACCCCTGCCTTCACCTCTGACTCACCCTGCTATACCTACTTCTTTTTCTGCCAAACACTGGTAAGACAGAGCCTGCTGGAAGGGCCCTGTCTTATTAAAAATATGGATCTTGCAAAGAACAGAGAAAGTAAAGGGATTACCTTTTTCACCCAAATAGAACCCAGGGGCAATCTGGCCATTGATTTTGTAGAAATGGCACATGATTAAAGAACATTTTTTTTAAGAGTCCCTAATGTAGGGAATTTGTTTTTAAGAGATGTCGGAGACTCTAAAGGTCAGAGACAGATTTATAGAGTAATCTGCAGGGGAGCCAGATAATCATGGGCATTTCAGAGCCTCTGTTATGCAGAATGTCTAGGCAGGGCCTGATACATATAGTAGGCACTTTATATATGGTAGTAAGTGCGTTACATTTTATTTGAAAAACAGCTTAAACTATGCTAATTTAAGCACTAAATAAAACAGTAGTTAATGCATACTTGTCTTGAGAAACTTACAAAACAAGGTTCGAGAGCCTTGAGGGTATCACTGTCCCTCAAGTACTGTGTTGTAAAGAAGCAGCCGGGCACGGAAGGCGTAATGACAAGCGAGCTGCTGTCCACGCCAGGAAGGACCGGTAAAGTGTCGGTGATTTAGTAAGAATTAGAAGGGAAAGCTCATCGTTTATCAGAGATCTCTAATAAGGCATATTATCATCAGAAAACAGTTTAAGGAAGTTAGCTGAAACTGTACGCTATTGCACAAAAGTTGCTGTTCATGAAATTCATACAGCGGTAAATGTCTTTAGATATTTCTAAATATCTGCACATCCTTTGTGCTTTGATATTTTCGTTGCCAGCCTCTAAGCAAGTTTCCTTATTCCCAACAACCTCTGCTCTTTGTGGTTACAGTTGGAAAGAGCTGGATCAGATTGCCACATACAAGAGAAATTGTCTAGACAAAAAATTATTTTTTCACGTAAGCCTTCATTTATGTACCATTGACCTAAGATGGGGAAAGATGCTTCAGAAATGATTCCTGATAAGGTAGCTCGGTTGGCATGTGGTGCTGACACCGAAACATGGCTGGGGCGTGGCTTGCTCTCCTGGGTGTAAAGACGCAGCCCTGTCCACACCCCACACAGCCTTCCTGGTGGCGTGATTTGAGGAAAAAGCGCAAGGAACTAGGCAGTCTGTTCCCACGTGCATCTAGGATCCATGGTTTGATCAACTCTGGATCGAGGTGAGATGCTAGTTTTATTTTTCCCAATTCTTCTCCTCTTGCTTCAGATAAAACTGGTGGTGAAGTGGGAACTTCGGGATGACAACAACCAATGTTTCTTCTGCTGGGAAATCCCAGTTCAGCTGGAAAACTAGATGCTTTGTGTGATGCCAGTGTGTCCATCTGGGGACAAGAGAGGGAGAAGAGGAATAACCAAATCTACACGAAATCAGTGCCATAAGATAAAAGGAATTTCTAGGCTGTTGTCTTATTCCTCTCAACCTCACCTGCAACCAAGACCCCGTATCCTGAGAGCTCAGAACTACTGCCCTTGTAGTGTCTTATAAACCAGTTGAAGGAAAGGAGGGGTTGATTTAATTGTCTTCAGTGATTTTTGCTGTTGGAATACGGAGGGTCCACCCAGACAGAACCTGCTTAGGGACATGGAATAATCTGCCTTGGGGTTATTGGCCTTCGTAGTGGAGGAGAGGTTTCAAAGCACGTTCCTCCAGCTGGTCTGTCACATCTCCAAGTGCCTCACTGCATTCATTGCATCTGACCAGCAAGCCTGCTGACTTTGACAGCACCTCCAGCTCCTGCAGCGGTGCCCAGTGGTTCTGTGGAGGGGGCGTGGTCTGCAACAGAAAGTCAACTCTGGGTGGCTGGTTCTCTGCAATTATGTCCTATCTTCTTTTCTGTCTTAGGTGGTTTTCATTAAATGCAACACTTAATTAGCAGATGTTTGTTTGTTTGTTTAACATTAATTTGTGACTTCTTTATGCACCTGAAAAAGTTTCTTTGAATAAATAAAATCTTGGCAGTCTTCTGTATTTGTGCATAGGCCACCGCTTTCTGCAGAGCATGTGCCCCAGATCCGTGGAAGGGGGCTCCCCAGCCCCATGGTCCCAGCGCGCAGTAAAGACACTGCTCTCAGAAACAGCCTTTTCCCCCCTTGCTGCCCAAAGAGACTGTACCTATCTATTTGATACGAAATGGCCTCGTTTTGCTCTATTTTGCATAATCTTATACCACCAAGTGTGTTTGAAATAAACTGTGAAAGCCAACACCACCTAGCTGAATACCTGAAAGGTCAAGGGAATGCAATTGAGGCAGGGGCAGGGAGTAAGGTTACAAGTTGGCAAGAAGCATAATAGTCTTTTGGGAACCTTCTGCTTCCAGGAAAATCTAGAAGCTTAAAAATGAAATGTGAAGTTGCAAGTAATGGCTAACTAATTAAGTCTTAGAATTTCCTGCTTCTGGAGCCCAAGTACAGCCCTGGGGCATGTACGTCACTGCCTGCTCTCACCCAGTCACAGGGACCGCAGCCCTGTTCTCACAATAACGCAGACTTTGAAAGGCCCTCTCTGATTAGGCTGTTGACACAGCAAACACATGGTTTGGTCCAGTTCTTTTCATCCCACTGCTTTCACTGGAGTTTCCCAGAAAGACCACCAGGGGACAGCCCTGGACGGGGAATGAAGTTATCAATCGCCCACATGGACTAGTCAATTCCTGAAGCCACTGTGCTCCTTAGCTGAGACCTTTGTGCACCCCATCACGTTGTGTCCAGAGGGACAGCCCACTCTGTCTCCCGCCAGGGGCCCTGGGTACATCAGACTTGCATAAATCCTGAAGGGTTCTGTGGGCTCTGGGTGCAGACTGCCAGGATCCTGGCTTCCCCAGCAAAGAGGACTGCCGGTGCTGTCTTTAAATCCTTAACCTGCCTGGTGCTTCAGTTTCCTCATTGTTAAATAGGGATGACAGCGGTAGGGCCACGAGGCTGAAATGACATGATGCACGTAAAACATTTAGCATGGCCCCTGGCACACGGCACAGACCCAGTAAATGTTAGCAGTTATTCCAGGAGACAGACATTGTTCTTCATCCAGGAACATCAGGAAAATCAAAATTCAAGCTGACGTGTGGTGTGTCGCCTCAGTAAGAGGGGGCCGTCCTCTGTGCACAGAACTTTGAGGTGCCTGGAAAAGCTCCGTTCTCATGTGTGTCTGCTCTCTCCCTGTCCCTAGAAGACCCCTCATGTCATCGAGCTCCTTGGAGGCTAGCAGCTGCCTGCCCTGCATGTCCCACTCCTGCCCTCGTATGTGCAATGATGGCAGAAAAGCAATTCAGCTAGTGTGTGCCCTTCAGTCAGAACAGAAGGGTAACGCAACAGCTTATAACTTCACCGGCCAATGTGAGGCTACATGGGGCCTGCAGCAGGGAGCTGGCCAGGGCTCCTGTGGGGGGATTAGTTTGAAAGGTCGTCTTCTGCACAGACGGTTCACAGGCGCCCCCCGAGTCATTAAAACATTGAGAAGCACTGAACTTCGGCTGAGTAAGAAAGGTCATGTTCTTTCTCGTGACGGTTTCATATTATTTCTAGTCCACTGAGCGAGCTGTGGAGGCTTAGACACATCTTTCTTGCATAAACTCAAGACTTCAGCCATTAAAAAAAGAGAGAGAGAGGCACCCCTGCTCAAAGAGTAGAGGGAGCACAATACCGAGTGTCCCCAGTTTGGTAGAGGGCTGGGTGGGAGGCCTGGCACTTAGTCAAATCAGGACAATAAAAATCAGAAAGCGTGAAGTAACTGCCGATCCTCTTTGGTTTTGAACTCTTAGTTGACTTCTTAGAAGAAACAAATTCATCTTAATTATACTTTGCAAAGGTTGATAAAACGACCTGTTCTCTGAAAACACCCACGGATGTGGGACAAGGGGCTGGTCATAGGTGAGGTGCAGGCTAAGGGGAGAGAATCTGGAAATGGCCTTGCACATCGGATTATCTAAAAGGCAAACACCGCCTAAATGTCTGGACTGGTGCGAGGACAGGGTCGTGGTCCGCAGGAAGAGGCGGACACAGGCGGCACCACGGTGGCAGTCACTGGGAACACGTGTTTTTCCCAAGGGCCCTTTGGGAAGGGCACAGAACGGGAAATAGGGCTTGGGAGATTCAAGTCCCGGGATACTTGGTTTAGGGGTGTGTGTGTGTGTGCACCTGTGCGCACATGTTGGGAATGGGATAGGCCCTGTTGGGTGGCCTGAGTTTGAAAGTAGCGCTGGATTTCCACAGATGCTGCCTAAAAGAATCTCTAGATGAACTGAGTCATTTGGGGTGGTTGTGTCTTTTTCTAGGAAGAGAATCCCCTGGCCTATCCCTCAAATTTTAAACTGAATCCTATTCATTTACAGCTGTCAGTTGACTAGCAACTAAATGGTCTGGGTGTTGGTTGCCATGGAAACAGTTAAAAGCCCATTGCTATGGGAACCTACAATGCTCTCCAAACCAGGGGTTTGGTTCCTAAAAAGTGCAGGGGAGGCTAGAGGGTGGAGCCCTGGAGATGGGCTGCATATTTGGCTCAAGGGTCCCCAAAGAGAGTGAGCAACGTGGGGAGCCTGGCTAGCTCCTTAGGTCTGTGGTAGAAGAGCAGTGACTTTTTCTGCCTCCTGCAGGTTCCCCACCTGTTCTCTGCTCATCGCCCCATGGCAGCCCCACAGCACAGGTGTTCGCTGTCCCCGATGGAGAGTAAGGGCATGAGGTCCCGAGGCAGACCTAGCAAGTCAGTGCTGCTACCCCTCATCTGCTTGGGCTCTGAGAGGGAAAGTCTTAACTCCTCTCTGCATGGCAACCTGTTCTCCACACATCACGTGTCTCAGATGAGCAGCCAACAGGTGAAAGAATCAGCTTAGTTCTGACCCCCAGTGGGTCGTACTGATATGGAGCCTGGCAGACAAAATGGATGGATGCTGGCCTTGAACATGGCAGAGGTGCTGGGATTCCAGGTGAAGAAGGAGAGGGACAGGTAGGTAACCACAGTGTCTATTGTCAGCATTAGAGAAACGCATTACTTTGCTCCCAAACCCCCTACCCATCTACATGCCTGTACCACAGAGCGGGTACCGCAGATGGCGTACGTGTGAAAGACGAGGTTTGATGGAGCTTCTCAGTGGCTGTGCACAACGGTTAGAAGGTTCTTTTCTGGGTTTTGCCGTGAAGAGGAATAATTCACATCAGTGGTCAGTGGTAAGGTGGCCTGCTGAGACAAAGAGGAAACCTTCCAGGGGCTCTGCCATTAGCTGTGGTCGATGTGTGTGGCCCACAGGGAAGGGACCGGACTAGGTAATCCCCACAGTCTCTACCAGAACTAGCAGCTGGCCATTCACCAAGACTGTCTGCAAAAGAACCTCCAGGTATGAAAAAGCTTTATTTGTGTTTTTTGGTGCCAAATGTTGAGCACATGCCCAGCATCAAGATGTCAAAGAGTGGAAAAGATGCTCCAGAAATGGCAGTTTTGTGGCTTATTTTATACATTAAAATCAAAGGAGAAGAACATTAAGGAAGGTTACACGAAACCCACTGGTGGTAGGTAGATCAGGAAGGCGAGAGAAAGCAAAGCAGGGGAATCTGTGGAAGTCGATTTAAAAGAAAAGTGGAGAAACACACACTTTTACCACATTGGTGGGTACAGGAGCAGTCAACATTTAACAAGTGTAGCACATAGAGATGGCAGGTGGGAACAAGATAACAATGAGAGGTCTTGTGGTCTTGTACTCATGCTTTGAGGGGACTAAAAAGATGACCCTTTTCGTTTTAAAGGTATGTCTTAGATGCACAAGGACAATGGACAGAGCTCAGTCAAGGTCAAGAGTGGCCTTTGCACAGGGAGCTGTAGGCCTGGGACGTGACTACCTGCAGTGGTCTGCCCAGTTGAGATTTCTGACCAGACCATCCTGTGTGGTTACTTTTGGTCCCTCAGCTTGTCGGTTCTGCCAGGTAGCACCCTGAGTCCCCGGGTTTGCTACATAGTCCCTTTCTCATTCACAAGACACCGAAGGGAAGTTTGGACGCCACAGAGAAGTGGGCACAGACCAATCACATCTGTGGGAGCAAGGAAGTCCCTGGGGGCCAGAGGGTGCAGGGCTGAGATGGAGGCCAACGCGTTCATTTAGAGAACGTCTCAGATACGTTTGGTCCATGGGACTGTCACCTGATTCTCCGGAATTCTAAAGTGTGTGGTCTTGAGCCCTGACCTGTGTGGCTCAGTTGGTTGGGTGTCATCCTGCAGAGCAAAGGGTCGCCAGTTCAATTCCAGGTCAGGGCGCATACCTGGGTTACAGGTTCAGTACTCAGTTGGGGCAGGCATGAGAGGCAACCAATCGATGTTTCTCTGTCACAATAGTTGTAAGATTTCTCTCCCTCTCCCTCCTTTCTCCTCTTTCTAAAACTAAATAAAATCTTTTTTAAAAAAAGCATTTAAAATTATAAATAAATAAGCCATGGCTAGTGTGGCTTAGTGGATTGAGTGATGGCCTGTGAAGGAAAGGTGGCCGGTTCGATTCCCAGTCAGAGCATATGCCTGGGCTGTGAGCGAAGTCCTTGTTTGGGGGTGCACAAGAGGCAACCATTCGATGTATCTCCTGCACATCAATGTTTCTCTCCCTCTCTTTCTCCCTCCCTTTGCCCTCTTGAAAAATAAATAAATAAAATCTTTTAAAATAATAAATACATAAACTGCATGATCTTGACTTTCTCTTCTAGTCTTGCCTTTTCCTGTCTGGAGTCGGTCCCTGCCACTTCCAGGGCGCCCTGGATCCGAGGCCGCTGGCCCCAGAGAGAGAGAGAGAGGCCACCCGGAATCTGGACCGCTCCATAGGCACTTGAGCGTGGCCCCAGGGTCCGTGGGGAGTTTTCCACTGTTGGATCATAGCAGTTGTGCATAGATCTCAGTAACACTGAAATTTTTCAATATAAGCTGGCTTTGTATCCCACCCAAAACTGTTTCCAGCTGATTACCTTTGAATAAGTTATTTAACATCTTTGTGTGTGCATGTG